TAGTTGGTTATATTGTTCATTTTCCTTTAATATGTTATCGATTCCCAATTTTAAATGTTCTCTCTAGGCACGAGAGAAGTTTCTTGCACTGAGGAAAGGCACAAAGACTGATGTGGCCAGTGTCTTGGAGGAGGTACGGCAATCTCTTTGCTCTATTCTTCAAAGAAAATTTACCATGATAAACTATATTTTCTATCTATTATGCTAATGTGGCATTATATTTATGCCAGGAACTCTATAATGCTAGGTCTGTGTTCGAGAAAGCTCGCTTTAATCTCGTAAGTACATGTGCCAAATCAGCTGGTGTGTCTCCAATTATCAATAGTAATGTTTTAGGTTGAACTTACATGTCCTCTTCAGCACATGGCTTTACTTAATTGCTTGTACTCTGTCTAGGTAACAACCCTTTCTAATGTTGAAGCGAAAAAGAGATTTGAATTTTTGGAAGCTGTCAGTGGCACAATGGATGCACATCTTCGCTACTTTAAACAGGTTCATAGATTCTGTGTTACGTTTTTCGTAGTTATTTTCTTGTCCAAGCAAGGCCAATGACTAAAGTTCTTATGTGCAGGGTTATGAATTATTGCACCAAATGGAGCCATATATAAACCAGGTTTGTCATTATACTCGTTTCTATTTCCTGTCAATTTTGTACTTCATATGTCATCCAATGGAGCCTTCTTTTTTGGAGAAAAAATGGAACTTGATACTGTTTCTGTGGAAATGTGTATTTGGTCAATCTATCTGTTTCTTATGCGAAACTGTGATTTGGGAGTAGAGAAATGAGGAAACCATGGATGGTTTACTTTCTCAAATTGATCAGTGTAGATTAACTGAATCAAAGTACATCATCTGCATTATATTGTGGTTAAGACATTGATTAGTTGAGTAGGGCTTGAATGCAAGGATGATGAAATTTTGGCTTGTTAGTGTATATTTTTATCTGTGGTATCGGATGGAGATGAGTGGGGATACATAAATATGATTTGGGAACCTTGAATGGGTGAGAAAGATAAATTTTGGCTGTTACAGGTTACAGACCTGTGAGTAAACTAATATCTGAAGCAACCAGCAGTGTTGAGCCTCAGTGGCAAATGATCTAGATCTGTGAACATCTGCTATCAGTTTAGTTTCTTTCAGTTCATCGACATGTGATAAGCAGTTCGGATATTTAGACTAGACTAGACCAAACATGATATGCAAGGAGATTGATTATCAGAATAAGTATTGCGAGTGTAGCTGTTGTGTTTTCAGGTTTTCTATATGGAAATCAAAATATGACACCTCTTGTTATCTGCAGGTTTTGACTTACGCTCAGCAATCAAGAGAAAGGTCCAATTACGAGCAAGCTGCATTGAATGAAAGAATGCAAGAATACAAGAGGCAGGTGGATCGTGAGAGTAGGTCATCTTCTAATGGTTCTAATGGATCCCCCAATGGTGATGGTATCCAAGCTATTGGTAGAAGTTCCCATAAAATGATAGAGGCAGTTATGCAATCTGCTGCTAGGGGAAAGGTACAGAACCTCTTATCTTACTCGGGATAGGTTTGCTTTCGTTCTTTATCTTCTTCTGAGATACGAAGCAAAATTTCAGGTACAAACCATCAGACAAGGTTATTTGTCAAAACGATCCTCAAACTTAAGAGGAGACTGGAAAAGAAGATTTTTCGTCCTTGATAGCCGAGGCATGTTGTATTACTATCGCAAGCAGTGCAGCAAACCTTCTGTAAGTGCTTTAGTAAGGCGTGAAAGCATTACAACACCAACAGAATGTTGTACAGAGTTCTGGTCATGATGTCTGATGCAATATTCAATCCTTAACATAACAATATATTGTAGGGTTCGGGAAGTCAGCTTACTGGTCAGAGAAATAGCTCCGAGCTTGGATCTGGACTATTGAGTCGGTGGCTTTCATCTCACCATCATGGAGGAGTACATGATGAGAAATCGGTTGCTCACAATACTGTGAACCTTCTTACATCCACAATCAAAGTTGATGCCGACCAGTCGGATCTTCGGTTTTGTTTCAGGATCATATCACCAACGAAGAACTACACTTTGCAGGTATCACTTATGACAAAGTCTTTCTGAGAATAGATAGCCATGGTTATGCTGGGGGGTAAATAATTGAATAGTCTATTATGGGAGGTGTATGTCTGCATGTTGAGGTGAGGGTGATAGTGGGGTTTAACTATACAGATCCCTAACAATGTATAGTGTTCTTGTCAGTGCAGGCAGAGAATGTGTTGGATCAAATGGATTGGATTGAGAAGATAACAGGAGTTATTGCATCACTGCTTAGCTCTCAAGCACCTGAGCGGGTATTGATTGATGATGTTTCATGATCAAACTAGTTTCAGCTATATTGCATGCATTTGATGATTTGATATGCCTATTGCATTTCAGTGTCTTCCTGGTAGTCCTATGGGAAGTGGTCATCATCGCTCAGCAAGTGAGAGCAGTTCATTTGAAAGTACCGATTTTGACCACCCTGGCGTTGATGAGTATGCATGTGAGAGAAGCTATTCCAGTGCACATTTTGATCGACAGCTGAGAAGTTCACAACTGCAGCAAAGGCCTTCTGTTGAGAAGCCAATTGATCTGTTGCGAAGGGTCTGTGGAAATGATAAGTGTGCTGATTGCGGTGCCCCTGAACCAGATTGGGCATCCCTAAATCTTGGTATTCTTGTTTGTATCGAGTGTTCAGGTGTTCATCGAAACCTTGGTGTACACATATCAAAGGTGAGTTCTATTTTCACCACTCTGGCATTTCAGAGTTTCCCCATTAGGAGTGTACTTGCATCTTTAAATGCATCACAAATATATTAGTTTATACGACAAGAGGATCAAGCTTTACAAATCATTAGTGAAGAAAGTGATTGAGTTATTGTTGTGCCTGGTGATTCCTCTGTAGGTTCACCATTCCATTGCTTGATCAACTGCATAGTTTGTCTTGCTTTCAGATCAAAGTGTTTCTTGCTTACAAATTTAGGGTCTTCTTTGTCATTTGGACTTCCATTGCAGGTGAGGTCTCTTACACTTGATGTTAAAGTGTGGGAGCCTTCTGTTTTAGGTTTGTTTCAGTCTCTTGGAAATGCCTTTGCCAACTCTGTTTGGGAGGAGCTATTGCAATCAAGAAGTTGCTTCCAAGCGGATGTCATTTCTTCAGGGTAATCCTTTTCTCTGGTTCATTTAGGGATTCCTTCTAGACCACAACTATATATATTGTTTGTTTTCTATGAGTGTTTACTTACATCCCTCTGTTTTTTATCTTATGTTGAAGCTCGTACAAATCGATTAAACCACAACTGCTTTTCCTTGGGAAACCAAGCCCTGCTGATTCTATACCCGTGAAGGAGAAGTTCATCCATGCAAAGGTACTCTATTCAAGTTCTACTCAAGCTTATAGCTTTGATATGATAACTTGATATGCAATAGTTCCATAATATTTGCAGTGCATATTACATAAACCATGGCTATTAGTATTGCTGGAGCTGGACTGTTCCTTTATTCTTTTGCAGTTGAGTGGATATTGCATAGTAATTAAGAGATGCAATGTCTGATTTTGATTTCATGTGTTTGATAGTACGCAGAAAAGCTTTTTGTTCGGAAACCTCGGGAAAACCAGTATCTTCATCAACAGATGTGGGAAGGGGTTCGTGCTAACGACAAAAAGGCTTTATACCGTCTCATGATTAATAATGAAGTGGACATCAATATGGTCTATGACCAAGCCACATTCAGCCCTTCTCTAACGCTTGCTAAAGCAATGCTATTGCAAGAACAAACAGGTGTGGATCTCTGTTCTGGTTGCTCAACGGGCTCTATGAACTCGGCTGGAACAAGTGAAGGAGGCCAGATAGTAGTGGATGATGATCAAGATGGTTGCACATTGCTTCACCTAGCGTGTGAGACTGCTGACATCGGCATGCTTGAACTTTTACTACAGTATGGGGCAAATGTAAATTCAACCGATTCAAAAGGCCGGACACCGCTCCATCGCTGTGTTACCGGGGGAAGAGCAGCTTTTGCAAAATTACTCCTCGCAAGGTATGAATTCCTGTTTGACCCTATATATGGAGGGATAAAACCTGCATGGAAGCACATGGATCTTGAATGGCATGACTGATGAATACTGATTTGACTTTTTGCAGGGGTGCTGATCCTCGGGCCGTGAATGGGGAAGGTAGAACTCCTATGGATCTGGCATTAACGTCGAACATTGTTGAGAACGAGCTGCTCACTCTATTATCTGACACAAATGGATGAATGAGTGTATGTTGGGAAATAGGGCATATTACTATTGTTTTATTCTTGTAAAGAATGTTATTATGGAAGTTGGCACAGCGGGGGTGGTTGATTCTGTGCCCTCATAGTGAAGGATGTTAGTGAGCATCCGAGGATTTGGTGGAGGTGGTGGAAGGTGCTTGATCATGTATGTGAGAAGTTAATCATGGGCGAGGATCATTGATTCATTCACCCTAATGGAAATGAGGCCCCCATCCGGTTGAGTACAGAAGTGGTTTTTAGTGGTCTGTTTTGTAAGGGTGGGTTTTGTGGTGGTATGGCTTGTTTATTTGTCTTGGGTGTATTGTATTGGACCCTAATCATGTAGTCGAGTTATTTTGTTGGTAGGGGAGGGGAGTGAATACTGGAGTGTGTAATTTTGGTGTACATTATGATGATTGGTATGTGTTGTAGCACTGAAGGTTGTGGTTATGGCTGTAGTTGATGACCTGATGTATAAAGATGGAAGGTCCTCTCTCCTCTGCTTGTGTTTCAATTATCAGTGGCTAAATTGCAAGGTTGGTCATTTGAATTACTAGTAAATTCATGTTAGCCACTAGAATGATTTTATTCCATTCGTAGTCATTTAAATTAGGTTAACAATCCAAGTTTGATCACAGGCCGTTAGTCTCCATTAATTTTTGCTGATGTAACAATCAACTCTAATAGTTGACCGTTAAATAAGTGACATGACAAATAAAAAAATATATAAAAATTTTAGCTATTTTTATTTTCCAACCTCAATATCAAAATTATCAAAATTTAACTAGGTTGATTCAGTCGGGTGCAGAATCAGGTATCTAGATCTTCTCCTTCCTCCTCTTCGCCCTCTCCACCTTCGAGCCCCCATCCCGCCCCGTCCAATCGTCGCCGTCTCTGTTCACTGCCGTTGGAGTAACCACCATACGAGCTACGTCCCTTACTTGATCCCTGCTCAATCCTCCATCGGTCAGGGCCTTCCCCTGCTGCAGAGCTTCCACGACGACCCCCACCGCGAATTCCATTCTCCTCGCCGACCATGTATTGTACAGCGTCGCGATTACGGAGCTGAACTTCCTGCATCAATTATGTGCCCGAGGATTTCCCTTCCCCGTCGGTGGATCTGAAACCTTGACGGAGTTTAGCCAACGCCCTTAGGTTTGCTTCTTTCTTGATTCCGCATTGCCAGTAGGGTTGGGAAATGGTGCGGTCTAGTCCAGACCATACCATATATATGGTCCAGACCGAGAGGCTAAAGTATAGACCATAGACCAAACCACTGACTATACGGTCCGGTCCACGTCTGTGCGGTCTGGTTCGGTCTGATCTGGTCCAGATAGACCCAGGAGTGTTCAAACGGTTTGGTTACCATGGTAACCGTTTTAACCGGTACTATTTGGATAATTTGGTTTGGTTAATTTGGATAATTGGTTAAAGTTTTTAGCTTGTTTGGTTTGGTTTCAGGCACTCCTAACCAGTCAAACCAAATTAACCAGTTAAGTAATTAGTCATATATCCAACATATATTATATACACATAATACTTTGCATAACCACTCAAGAGTTAACGTTCATCCATTTTAGACTCATAAAATATAAAGCACAATATTGCTCATATAGTGTATATTTGTATATGTAAAGTCTAGACCACAACATATGGACGCCTAATTTAGATAAATTTCATACATTATGATGAATGAAAACTTGAAAGGAAGGTCATTTCCAGCCTATGATAATTGCTAAGAGACTAAGTCAATTTACACAAAACAGAAGAATTCATTAACCCATACAATTGTCATAATTTTTTGTTAGGTGAATACTTCTATACTAATCGTAAGATAATTGTCTTAGGTGCATGTATTTTTGTTAAGAGTCAACTATAACTACGTGTTGATTGTTATGTTTTATTCATTATATAAATTGTGAATTGTTGCATTAACCGGAAAATTTTTATCGTCAATGATAATGTGATTTTATATTGGTTAATCTGGTTAACCAATTAACCAAACCGATTAAACTTTAGTTTGGTTAATTTGGTTGTTGTATTAGTTTGGAAGGTTTGGTTATGATATTGTATTCCATGGTTAATGGAATTTAGCCTTATTTGGTTTGGTTATAACCATGGTAACCATTTGAACACCCCTGGATAGACCCGACTCAACGAGAAATGAATAATTTGTTTAGGCAACCACACAAAAAATTGAACCAATAACCAAGAAAAATAATTGTTATTTGCCTTAAAACATTAATCCTAACATGCATGAATAATTTTGATACTCTAAATCTTAGTGCATAACAAAGATACAAAGTAAAAGCATCCCAACTTGCACCATAATGTCATAAACATTAACATAATGTCATATGGAGACACGATTATCTCTACTCTCTGGTTAAATGTGGTTGTAAATGAAGGAGGGACGAGATTCACAAAACTAAGGTTGAGACTTGGGTGTCGTTGTGGGAGTTGGGAGAGTGGTCGAATGAGCTGTTAACACGTAGTGACAAGTCAGTTGGATCCACGGTTTGGTCCGATAAACCACGGTCTAGACCAGACCAAGAGATCCAAACATAAAATAATACAGACCATGGATAAGGCCATACTTAACGGTCTACGGTCCAGACCAAACTGTGAGATACAGTTTGGACCACGGTTTTTCTAACGGTCTGGTCTATTTTCCTATCCCTAGTTGGCAGGTTTTCAAATAGAGCATGAATCTGAGCATTTCTCCGAGATTCGTCAACCGGGTCCGGCTAAGATCCCTGTAAAATCGAATTATGCGCTTCCATTCCCTTCCATGGCCCTTCGAATTGAGATATGCGAGAATCGGATCGAGCCGTAGAGAAGGCAGGGTTTTCAGAGCTCTATTATAGTTATGCTCTGTCACGCCGAAACTTCAATGGTTGAACTTGTACCCCCATCTCCCGAACCAGGAGTGCCCATAGACGACGCAGTAGAGGAGCAGGAGGTCCGTCGATCGCGCTTCCTGGAGACGTCCTCGACAAAAAATGGAATTCGCGGCGGGGTCGTAGTGGAATTTTTATTACGTTCTGAAATCGACGAACAACGTCGCCATCGGTGATTCCGTCATCCGACGAGCCGTCAATCCCAGAACCAAGATTCTGAAGTACTCCTCTGCTTTTTCACTTTCGATAATTACAATTGTTAATTTTATGTTTTATTAATTTTAATTTATTGTTATAATGAGGTGGAAATTATGAAAATTATTTTTTTCTTTTTTAAAAATTGTCGTGTCACTCATTTAACGGCCAACTATTAGAGTTGACCGCCACATCAGCAAAAGTTAACGGAGACGAACGCCAAACTTGAACCGTTAACCTAATTTAAGTGACTACTGATGGAATAAAATGATTCTAATGGCTAACGTGAACTTTGCTAGTAATTCAAGTGACGAAACTTTCAATTTAGCCAATTATCAGTCATCCAGGTGACATGAATTGAATGGTCATCAGGCATGAAATGTTTCTTGTTGTAGTTGCTGGCTGGCTTTTCCCCTTGGGATGTTTGCCATGAAGAAAATAATATTGCGGAAGAGTAAACAAACATGAGACAATGATTATAAATGGTTTTCTCGTTTGATGTGAATGAGTATTTCACGGAGAGCTTGAAGCTCTCGGTTGGGATTTAATTGATGACGACTTTTTTTATGATGCTACAAGGTTCGGTCATTAGGGATGGTAATTTGGAGGGTTTGTGGCGAGTTTGTCTAAACAATCTTTATCCAAGCTTTCAAATACCCGTGGGTTTCTGGTAACCATGGGTAATATCCGGCCCGTATATCCAACATCATTATATTATATCTAAGATCTTACATGTAAATTTTCAATTATAACACTAAACGGACCTATTATATCATTAAGTCAACAAAGATTCAATCATTCTTAATACGGTTCAAATCATATGATGCTAAAACATCAATCAATAAGATAGAGTATAATATTTTTCAAATCATTAGTTTCAACTCTGATGCATCTTCTAAGTAATACTTAACTAACATAATAATCTTGTTAACAAGAGGGAAAAGTGAAAGAATGGAGGGATAATTGACGTAAAGGAATTAGATTTGGATTTGGGTGGTCACTCAATTGCATTTCTGCTATATATTGTCTTAAGTTACCTTCACTAGGGGTGGAAGTTTCGGTTGCGGGTTATGGATAATCCGCAAACCGCACCAACCCGCACCTATTGTGGGTAACCATACCCACAAGTTGTGGGTAGTGGGTTGGGTGTGGGTAGTAAAATAATAATTTTTGTGGTTAGTGGTTATCCACTGCCCACCGCGGTTAACCCACAAAATCCACAATAACCACACTAATTATATTTATTTAGTGAATTAACTTTATAATATAAGAGTATGTGAAAAGTGTGAGGATAAAAATTAAAGTAGCCACCAAATAAAAAAGACACACCTAATCAGTTTTATGTAAGAAAATTTTAGTTTATAAAACACTATAATCGATAGAGTGGAGAATAACCAATTCATTAAAAGTGAACACCTTTTGTAACTTTTATCAGTATGTTTTTGTTTTTGTGTGAAAAAAATACAAGATCATATTTAATTGTCATATTTCACCCCTAGTCAGGGAAATATGAAATCACAGCTCTCTGACACAAAAGTTGAATACCAAACTCAAAAAAAAAAAATGTTCACATTGAGTAAGATCGATTTACAAAATTGTATCTCCACGAACAACACAAGTGTATATCACTATAGTCTACTTACGAACAACAAATACGTTAGTGGCGACTAAAACCCTATGCTTGCAAAGAAGGATTTTTGCGGGTAACCACACCCAACCAGCACAAACCCACAGTGGGTAGTGGTTACCCACTAACCACTGCGGTGCGGGTTGTGGGTAGCATATTGTAAATTTATGGGTGTGGGTACCCGCAAAATGTGGGGCGGGTAACCACACCCACCCCAATTTTCACCCCTCATCCTTCACTATCATTGATAGGTTTCAATTTAATCCATGTATTTTTTTATATGTGAGAAAGATTCTTGGTTGGGCTGGTATGGATATGGGTATGGGGCGGGGGAGGCTAAAACCATACACGCCCCATACCCATCAAACTTCTTGCGGGTTTTACCCATACCCGCCCCATACCTAGTCAATGCGGGGATTTCCGGCGTTGGCTGGGTCGGGGGCGGTCAAATACCCGTCATGGGTTTGATTGCCATCCCTAGGGGTGGAAGTTGGGGCGGGTGTGGTTACCCGCCCCACATTTTGCGGGTAGCCACATCCACAAATTTGAAATTATGCTACCCACAACCCGCACCGCAGTGGTTAGTGGGTAACCACTACCCACTGTGGGTTGGTGCGAGTTGGGTGTGGTTACCCGCAAAAATCCATCTTCGCAAGTATAGAGTTGAGGCCGCCACCAACGTATTTGTTGTTCATAGCAAGACTATAGAGATATACAATTGTGTCGTTCGTGAAGATATAATTTTTTATATCGATCTTACTCAACGTGGATATTTTTTTCTTTTCGAGTTTGGTATTCAAGTTTTGTGTCAGGAAGCTGTGATTTCATATATGATCTTGTATTTTCTTTCACACAAAAGCATAAATATACGGATAAAATTTACTAGAGTAAGTTTAGTTTTAAAGTTAGGGTGATATAAAAATTAGGGCGAGATTAAGTAACTCCCATTTTTAATGAGCCGATTATTTTTCACTCTCTCGATTATAGTATTTTATAAACTAAAAAATTGTCACTTAAAACTGCTTAGACGCGTATTTGATTATGTGGCTACTTTAGTTTTTTGCTTCCCACTTTTCATATACTATTATATTATAATTATAATGTATTATTAGTAAATAAATATAATTAGTGTGATTATTATAAATTTTGTTGATTAACCGCGGTGGATAGCGGGTAACTACTAATCACAAAAAATTATTATTTTGCCCCCACATCTAACCCACTACCCACAATAGATGTGAGTTGGTACAGTTTGCGAATTACCACAACCCGCAATCCAAATTTCCACCACCAGCCATCCCTATCAATCGCTACCTATTTATACATAATGGCAGTGCAACCCTAGCTGAAACGGACAAGGAGGAACCAACCTTCCTTGTGCGACTACAAAAAGGAAAGCAAGCTGATAAGGACAAGTAGGTCGAGTCTTCCTCCGTTGGATTTCTCTTAGGCCTCTCTATCATTTGATCTCGTTTTTAGTATGAAAACTCCATGTTCTTCTTTTTATAATTGTTTTGATCTCTAGAGTTGTCCAATGTTTGATCCAAGTTTTCTTAAACCGCTTTGTACCGTGAAAACTATAAAAAATACATATCAAGGACACAAAGGCATCGAAAAGTAAAAAAAAAACATAATCTAAAATTATTAAAAGCTAATTGATTAAATAGTTACAATTTAGATAAAAAAAATACAAAAGAAAGTTGTAAAAATGAATGGATAAAAGGAAAAAAAATGTATCAAAATAAGAGATAAATAAAGCATCATCATAAAGTCCACATTTGTGAAGGAAAACATTCTTTGGCCTATTTGGGCTTTAGAGGTAGGCAGTGGCGGATACATGGAGGTTTAAAATTTGAAAAAAATGATTATTCAACCTCCGATTGTAGTTTGCTTATGGTTAGAAAAATATTTTAGTGATAGCGAAACATCCTTAAATTTAGGAAAAAAGATTATCTAACCTCCTGTAGTAGTTTGCGTATTGGTACAAATAATATGTAGGTGGTAGTGTGTGATTTGAACTTGCCACACTGCTACAATTAGTAAACATATTTTTAATTAGACTTCAACTCTTTTGTTGTTATGTTTTAGATTCAAATATAACAGTAAAAGGTTATTCTTATCCCCAATTATTTTCAAAACCTAACGATTGAACCCAATTACGGGCTACTCTTGTCTTATACGATATGTCGAGAGAGATTTGTTGAGCAATGTAGACACCGAATGTGTTTTACCATTTTTCATAAAACGAAACACGTCTGAACTTTTATTGTAATTTTTACTAGTCGGGTATTTTCACATTTAATAATTAGTTAATTTAATTTTTAATTAAATAAATTTTTTTTGGAAGAGACTCCACTTTGTAAAATTTCTGGATGTGGGTCATTTTCATCTCAAATTGTGAACGGCCCACAATGGTTGCTTCTTTCTTAATGGAAGTATCAAGGATGCCTTCCTTTCTTCTTCACATGTACAGATGTACTCCTGTAACGACAAGTTCATGTAGAATTATGGTATGGTATTGCGATGTTTTGCTAATTTTCGACATGAAGTCATGAAGCCTACTGCTTTTCCATTAATAGATCTTGTACTTGGCGTGAAGGAAGGAAGGAAGGAAGGAAATCCCAGCTGGTTAGATCAGATATTAGGCTGCGTTTGGGCTTAAGATCCCTGACATAGACTGCTAGATGCATCATGCATGCATACCGCTGCAAGATCTGATCACCTTCACTAATGTTTACTTTGTGGTTATTATGGAGATTTATGGAGATCATACCAGTGTTATTCACATAGTCATAAATCAAGTTTTGCATGTTCGTACGAATCATATAGATCCAAGTGCATTACACCATAAGTTACTAGCAGAAGAAACTGTACAACTTAACTATTTGTCTACAGCGGATCAAACTACGTATGTATTGACTATTGACGAAGGCAGCGGCTTCAAGTAGGCATTGGTAGTTAGGGTATAGTATCATCCCGAAACTCAGTTTAATTCATGGTCTTGATAGATATATCTTACTATGAGTACATGAAGCATAGTATACTCCAGGAGCACATGAGTCTGGCTCATATATATATGATGTTTTCTATCGTACCCTAGAGTAAACTCTAGGGTACTGCATTACCCTTGTTAAGAAAACGTTATTTAGGCCTCAAACTAACCGAATTTTGGAGCATGATACTATCCTTTTAACCCTTGATGAGTGAACCTAGGTCTTAGTGAGTTATATGACTATATCATATAGACCCTAGATAATAAGATGATGCATATAATTTGTTCACTGTATTTCGACAAATCATGACCATAGATTATTGTTTCTAATTAAAATTATCTTACGGTATGAGATTTAGAGAATTAAGATCTATATTTCAATCTTTAATGGTTAGAGTATATTATTATGTCCCAAATTCTAATCAATTCAAGGTCAAGATATCATTTTCTTATTTAGCGTATGTCATACTTATGATTGTACTCAAAATACGATATAACCAATGTTTTCTGAACTGGACCAAAATTGGAGAAGTGGTTGATTGTTCACCAATTAACCATTGTAGAACCGTTGGTTAACCATTGATAATATATAATACTCTAGTTTAGTAGTGGATTTATTAGTAAGGATAAAAAATTTCATATCCATATCATTTATCACCAAAAAGTTATAACAAAGCATTCAACCTATCTCACAGTAGAAATCATAATTGCTTTTTATTAAATTAAAGTGAGTAAAAAGAGTGGCAATCGGAAAATAATCAAGATAAATCGGACGAGGCTGAGAAATTAAAAAAAATGAAGCATAAGTAAAATGAGTGATTGAGGTTGGATGGTCTTAACTTACGTTAATGTATTTGTTTTCTTAATTTTTTTGTGATAAATATAGTGAATTAATGAATTAGTTAAATCGGGGCGACTCATTTGATTTTATATCAAACCGGTTAAATCATCCGGTCCATCTATAGTCGTCCAATAAAATGAATCAAATTGCCATTATAAATGGTTTAGTGGTTCTAATGACCCAATCGTTAATCCAGTTTGGTTCTTCTAATAATAATGGATAGAAGTATATATACTATGATGGTGGCTACTTCAGTGCATTCACTTTTTTGGGTGCATTGTAACTGTAAATGTGGTCATAATACATCAAATTCTGAAATTTAATGGGTAGCATTAGTCTAATATGATGATATAACACAAAATCACAACTAATCAATCCATTATCCTAACCTATTAACCTTCAATTTTGAATCCCAACCCAAAATCCCAAATTATAAACCCTAACCCTAAATTTCTAAATCCTAAATCATTCAAATTAAAGTGAATCATGAATGATTTTTGTACAAATTCATGTGGTTCTTGTTAATCATACTACAAGTGATGATTGACATCGTATTACAAGTGATGATTGACATCATTTTCACATAAATCGCCTGCTCAAAATGACAATTATGAGACAAGTGCATTAAATGCACACAAAAAAGTGGGTACACCAAATAGGCCACCATAAAATTATAAGAATATATATTATTCTTCCTCCTTAACTGAAAAAACAGGGTTTTTTTTTAACCAGGTTATTATGGCCTCCTTTTGCATGCATTTTGGTCGGCTTATTATTGGTTGATCAGTCGATGGAGATAGATGGGGATGGATAATGATACACATGTGCGAGAGAGCAAAATTAATGTGAGCTTAGAGAGCGGCAGCAAAGCCAAAATTAGGTTTCTGGTTTAATTATCAACCTTCAGATTGTGGTGTCGTGTGGGCATCTCCATCGCATTATTTGGAGGCCAGCTGGGTGGAAACTACAAACCCTAATAATTTACTCCAAGTTTGCAAAAGCCTTGGATAACACTTTTGAGGGTTGTTTTTGTTTGTGCCCTTTTTCATTAACCACTACCTGCTGCAATATTTCTTTCTGGGTTCAAAAAGTAACTTTTGGATGAGTAACGTACGATAAACAAAACAAACAAACTAAATGATGATAAGATAGTGTTGGGTTGGACATGTGACATGTCGACTTTACATTTGTTGAGTAACCTTCAATGTGATTTTTCCCTTAGCTAAAGAGCGGATCTGTATTTGATTTCGAAATAATTCTTCGACATTTGATTTGTTGCTTAATGAGAGGTTTCATGAACATGCTCATATATTAGTGTCGAAGTTAGAAATCTTAAAATGACTACAACATTTACGTTTTATGGATTTTCATTGTAGTAATTAGAAAGGGATTAAAGCCTTACCAATTATTCTATTTTTCAAATTTGTTACAAAATTTATAGGTAATTTTACCTAGTTTTTAAGCATAGTCTGTGAAACTGTACTGAAAAAGTCCACCGTATGGTATTTTATAGCAAAATCGTGGTTTAATTGTCGTTCAACCGTTAGTACTATTAAATACAGTCTACTGGTTTAGCAAATATATTTTGTGGTTAAACCGCCAGTACGGTACAGTTTAATGAACCATGCTTTTAAGATTTGAAGAGGAGTATAACCCCAACTAGCGGCTAACCCAAGGAACTAGGGACACCCCTAAATTAGAGAGGGCGGATTATGGTGTCCCATTAGTATTAAGTGTCAAACGTAATCAAAACATAAACAAGAATCAACGCAGAATATCGGATTTACGTGGTTTCCCCAACGTTTGGAACATTGAGACTAGTCCACGGAAGAAGGCGATTGATCTCTTATTACGTGTAGTTCACCAGAATACAACTTACACCCAAACTCGGCTGCAAATCTCCTAATATAGGCGGCTGCACTAAACCCTATTATGTACATGGCAAATTACATAAAGGTACTTAAACCTTTAACTTCTAACACCCTCCTCAAATTGATGGTGCCGACGCAACATCAATTTGTGCGCCAGAAACCAGTGACGAGCAGAAGCCAGCGCCTTAGTTAACAAATCAGCAGTCTGATCTTCGGAGGTGATGTAAACCAACTCAATAACACCATCATTCACCAACTGACGGATGTAGTGCACATGAACTTCAATATGCTTAGTAAGATCATGCAACACTAGATTCGTTGCAATCCGTATCGCACTAGTATTATATGCATACAGCCGGATGGGCACCCGGCAATCAAGCCCAAATTCAGCAAAGAAGCGCCGCAGCCAGACGAGTTCAGATGCTACCTCACTCATCGATCTATACTCAGCCTCAGTAGAAGATTTTGCAACCCGGTCCTGCTTCTTACACCGCCATGAAACAAAAGAATTACCAAACTGCACACACCAGCCAGACGTGGAGCGACGAGTGTCCAAACAGCCTGCATAATTTGCATCAGCATACGCAGTGAGAGTCACCTCCCCAGTCGTCGGAAAGAATAAGCCCACGTTCAGGGTACCTTTGAGGTACCGAAGAATCCTCTGAACAACAGTCCAATGTCGAGTACGAGGAGCCGACATATACTAACTGGCCACCTGCACAGCATAGGCAATATCCGGACGAGTGTGAGTAAGATAAATAAGACTCTCAAATATACTCTGATAGGTAGTGCCATTAGCCAATACATCTCCAGCAGGCTGTGTGAGCTTCAAGTTCGGTTCCATGGGAGTGCCACACGGATCACACTCATCCATCTGAGCCTCTTCCAGTAAGTCAGCAATGTATTTCCTTTGACAAACTAGGATCCATGCACAGCGGCGGATCCAGGATATAATATAGCACTGGGCCGGATTTGAATGGAATATTGGATGCCGTAAACAAAAAAATATATGTAATAACTATAGTTTATTAATATTCATTCATTACAATGCCAATTTGGAAAAGAAAACCAGCGCCCGGCGGGCTGGCGGAGGAATCCATTTCGGATCTGGTCGTCTCTTGTTCTTGTTTTTGTTTTGAGGGGATTGGAGAATTTTTTTGAGTTTTGACAGGGTGAACTTTAGTCTATAGGGATTTTTTTTATTTCAATGAAACTTATACTTAGTCTTTTACATTATAGACTTTTAAATTTAATTGTTTTTTTTTCAAATGAAAATAATTTGGGCTAGATTTTCTATGTAAATTTATTGTAGTGGTTTGAATATGTTCATCTAGACCATTTTGCTAGTTACAAAAAATCCTATTATCAAATAACACTAAGCCGATTTTTAAATAGCACTGGACCGAATATCTAAAATCGAAAAATTTATAAGCACTATACTAGCTCTGGATCCTGAGGAGGCCTGGGCCGTGGCCTGGATTGGCCCAGCCCCAGATCTGCCGCTGCAAGAGAACGATCAAACTCAAGGCCGAGGAAGTATGATAGAGAGCCTAGTTCCTTAAGATTGAAAGCCTCTCGTAATGTAGAAGTCAGAAGCTGAATATCATCCTGATCATCCCCACTGATAACCATATCATCAACGTAGAGCAACAGGAGGGTAAGGTCGTGTGCTGTATGCCGGAGGAAGAGAGAGGGATCATTATCACTCTGAACAAACCCAACACACAGAATAGTAGCCTGAAACTTCTCAAAGCAAGCCTGGGGGGCTTGCTTTAAGCCGTACAGAGAACTCGAAGCAGACAAACCATTGATTTATCACCTTTCTTATAACCCGGAGGGCGCTCCATATAGACAGTCTCCTTCAAATCGCCATGAAGAAAAGCATTCTTGACATCCAGCTGAATTAGGGGCCAGTTCTTCATGGCAGCTACTACAATGAGATTGTGAACGGTCTGCATCTTGGCCACTGGAGCAAATGTTTCCTCGTAGTCTATACCATACTACTGCTTAAACCCCTGGGCAACCACCCTTGCTTTGTGACATTCAAGAGTACCATCATGGAGAAACTTCAAGGCATAGACCCACTTACAGCCGATGACAGTAACACCCGGTGGCCAAGGAACTAAATTCCAAGTATGCCGAGCTTCCAAAACATGTGTTTCAACATCCATAGCACGTTCCCATGGGTGAAGGCCTCGTTCTTGTTTATAGGTGGCCGATACAAACACAGGAGTAGTGATGGAATATGAAAGAAAGTCGGAGTGTCGAGCCGGTGGTTGGCCCCTAGTAGCCCGAGTGGATCGACGGAGGAGGGGGCACTAGAGACGATCACTACAGAGGAGCCAGACGAGGAGTGGGAGCTGGCCGAAGAACTTGAAGAGCTGGAGGAGGAGTCAGAAGAGCTGCCAGAAGACCCCGAGGACGGCGACGAGGGAGAATCACTTATTTGGATCTGGAGATGAAGGAAAAGTAGAAAGAGGTGCCAAAAAGTCCCACTGAGCATCATCCGAAGGATCCTGCGCCCCGTAATAAAGTGTGTGCTCTAAGAAGAAAACATGACAAGATATACGAAGGCACTGATTCTCAACATCATAACATGCATAACCCTTGTGTTTGTCACTTTACCCCCACAAACACACATTTAGCAGCCTTAGGAGAGAGCTTATGACGCTCCCGACGTGGAAGAAGGACATAACAAACACAACCAAAGATACGTAGCCATGCATACTCAGGAATGCGAGTAAAAAGAACCTGATACGGACTCTGTTGATCAAGGACTGGAGTGATCTACCAATTGATCAAGTAGACCATAGTGTGAATAGCCTTTACCCAGAAACGAGGTGGAACTCGAGAATGAAACAGCAAAGCTCGTGTAAGCTCAAGAACATGTCGATGTTTTCGTTCCACTAGCCCATTCTGCTGCGATACCCCGGGACAAGACTGTTGGGGAAGCGTCCTCTGCTGACAAAACATATCCTGCAAAGGATGAGAGACAAACTCACCACCCGGGTCCGACCGGAGGATTTTGATCCTCTTGCTGAACTGGGTACGTGAACACCATCTGGGTAAACTCACGAGCCACATTAAGCAACTCGGATTTCTGTCGTAAAAAATAGACCCATGTGAACCAAGTGACATGATCCACAAATAGGGAAAAGTACCGGAAGCCCAGGCGAGATGTCACAGGAGAAGGGCCCCAGAGATCGGTGTGGACCAGGTCAAACGGCTCATAATAGACTGTCGAACTATTACCAAACGAGCGCTGAGTAATCTTAGCTTGCACACAATGTATACAATCATGAGGAGGAATAGACCGAACGGTACCCGACAACCATTTATTCTTAAACATCTCAAAAAGTCTCGATTTGTGAGGGTGGCCCAACCAAAAAATGTCACAAATCCCAATCCGACAACTGAACTGAATAACTAATGTCATGAAAAGGAAAAACTGAATGCAAGGAATCAATAGGCTAGGAATGCAACATGCTCGTGGCATCTCCATGTCGTCCAGTGAGATCTGTCTGAGGTGAAGTCCCCCCACGGTCCTCCTGCTGACTGATGAGACGATCGAGCATATACACTCTTCTGCATTTACTCCCTCTCCCTATCTCCCTGCCCGTCCGCACCTCCTGCACAGTGCAACCACGAGCATCAAATATAATGTGGCGTCCCTCATCCGCCAACTGACCCACGGAAATCATACTGGGTATTAATCGCGACACATAAAACGTATTTGGCAAGATCAATTGTTTATCACGGGCTGTACCAACTCCTGTCATAGCAAGAGGCGAGTCATCCGCCACTTGTAACGTAATGTCAGTATTAGGTTTAATATAAAGAAAAGCGGAACGAGCACTAGTCATGCGATTCACAGCAGCAGAGTCAATATGCCAAGAAGGAGAAGACTGAGAAACAGTACCCGTAGCAAACGTAGGAGCAAGATCACGAGACGCCATGTCTTGAAGCATCTCACGAATCAAGCGACGCAATTCATCCGAAGAGATCCCAGTTGAACTAGCAGAGGTAGAAGACGTGGGTGGTTGGGAAGCAACAGTGGTGGCATACGCAAGACGAGCCCCCCCCCCCCCTACCCCCCCCCCCCCCCCCCCCTAGCTGGAGGCCGCAAGCCTGGCGAAGACCCACTTGAAGACCGAGAGGAACTAGACCCATCCCCCCGAGATTTCCCACGTCGAGCAAGTATAGGCCATTCCCCAATGATGTGACCCTGTGCCTTGCAGTAGTTACAGTGGATGCGCTTCGGGCAGATAACATGAACATGTCCTTGTTCCTTGCAATGATAACAAATAATCTCACTAGAAGGAGTACGACCAAAATGAGGGCGGGCGGTCTGAACAGCAAAAGCAGCACCAGACTCAGAGGAATGAACATCGAGCTTGGCTTGACTGCGAAGACGAGTCTCCTCCAAAACCAGTTCACCAAGAGCTTCCTCGATGGATGAAACATTGCGATGAAGTAACGATGAGCGAACCCCTTCGAAGGTAGGGTTAAGCTTCATGAGGAAGTGCATTAAACGGGAGCTAGCACGCTCCTTCAACACCTCAGTCGAAGCAGCCGCAGAGACCAAGGACGTGGTCAACATATCCTATTCCGTCCACAGGGTAAGAGCTTCTTGATAGTAGGCCCGAATATCTTTATCACCCTGTTGCAAGGAGGCCACGACAAGTTCAATCTCAAACTTCCGCGACACATCAATCTGAGAGTGCATAACGTAGAGATGCTTCCACATAGCATGAGCAGTAGGAAAGGCCTGCAGACTAAGCGCCGCATTAGGCTCCACAGAAGAAAGGATCCAGGTCATAACCTAGACATTGTCAATCTCCCCGTCCGAGCGAGCCTTGGCGGTGCCAGTCTCGCCAGGCTCCGGAAGAGTACCATCCAGAATCGGAAGCAAGCGCCTCCCTTGAACAAACACAGGAAAATGTAATTCCCACAAGGGAAAATTCTTCCCATTCAGCCAAACAGAAATCGCATCGAGTCGTGAGCTATCCATGATGACCAAGCACAACTAGAGGAAGATAACCACTCCCAACAACAACCACCACACTTGTGATACCCACAAAAAAACCTTGTCGCAAGCAACCAAAGGGCAACCGAATCCACACAAAAGTCCCAGCAACCAAAAGCCAAATAAAAGTCAATTGAAGCAACAATTAACCGCAGCCAAAAGAAATCTCAGCGAGCAGCAAACTCCCAACCCGCAACAATGCACCAAACACACCACAAACAGCCAAAAGGCAATCCGAAACAGGAAAAAAAAATTGGAGCCGAAACAAGCTGCAAGCACCCGCAACAATAGAAAAATCACAACAAGTAGCGACGATCAAACCGAAAGCCGCAGTGGAACAAAGACCTCGTAGCGAACCACGTGCGGAATTCTTCCAAGACGCCAGTTGAACCCGCAGCAATTAACCTGACCCCAGCAGCAGAACACAAGACCCCAGGCAACTGAAACCAACCGAATACGAAGAAGGAAGCAGAGCAATAACCCGACCCGAAGCTCCACAATAAAAGACGAGTAGCACGGGATGAATAACCACGAAGAAGACCATGCCGCTGAACCCTTTCGGGAATCCAAAAAAAATCAGAGAGGCTCTGATACCATGTCAAACGTAATCAAAACATAAACAAGAATCAGCGCAGAACACCGGATTTACGTGGTTTCCCCAACGTTTGGAACGTTGAGACTAGTCCACGGCACAAGGCGATTGATCTCTTATTACGTGTAGTTCACTAGAATACAACTTACACCCAAACTCGGCTGCAAATCTCCTAATATAGGTGCTGCACTAAACCCTATTATGTACATGGCAAATTACATAAAGGTACTTAAACCTTTAACTTCTAACATTAAGTAGTTTGAGTTTGGAGAAAAAGAAGAATATATGTGATAGTTTTTGTGATTAAAACTCATGATGATTAGATTATTAGTAAACATATTACCCATTACACTAAAAATATTTTGTTGTTAAATTTAAATTATACGCTAAAATAAAGTCCAATTTTTTCAATTTTATATCTGAATACTAAATTCCTGACTCCCCGCCCTTCTTATATTAACCGAGTCATGTAAAATAAGCAACAAATCAATACGAAAGTCGACTCCTCTTCTTTGAAGGTTCCTATGACACCCCACCCTTCCAGTCCAGCTGTCAGCGTTCGGCCTCTACTCATCGTCATCTGTTCATTTGTTTCTCAAAATTATATTAATTTTATTGGTTGCAACAGTAAGTGTTTGAAAAAACTTTTCATTAAAGTTACATAAAAAAGATTTAGAAATCAAATAGGTAATTACTTTGTGAATGATTATCTAATAGGATATATTGAAAGAGATTTATTGAGCATTGTAGACTGCATATTCATGTAATTTGTTGGTAAGATGAGCGCTAACTAGGGATGGCAATTACCCACCAATGGGTAATTATATCCAAATCCAAGTAAACCCATTGATGATGGGTTGAGTATGGATGAGATATATGTGGGGTTGGGAGGTTTGTAGATGTGTTTGAGTAAGGTATGGATAGTGCTTCCATAATCTAAATGGGTATGGGTTGGGTAAGGATTTCCATTTACTTGAGCGCGTTTTAACAACACTACAAAAATTAGACCTATTTGTACAACTTGAAAAGTTTAGGTACCAAAATATAAGACCAAAAAAATTTAGGTACCAAAATTCAATTTTCCATCAATATTTGAGGACTAATATGCAAAATATTAAATTTAGGTACTAAATATGCACATCTATTAAGTTTAGGTACCAAAACTGTAATTTACATTTGGGCATTGATACAAACCCAAATCCATGTGTTAAAACCCCAACCCAAATAAATGGGTATGGGTACAAACCCATCAAACTCTACTCATCTTCATCTATTTGAATTTCATACCCAACCCAATTGGGTTGAATAGTAAAATACCCATGGGTATTAGGGCCAGGAAACGGTGCGGTTTGGTCTGACGATCTACGGTCCAGACCAAGAGACTAAAGTAAAGACCAGAGACCAGACCACATACTATACGGTCTAGACCAGACTACGTCTATGCGGTCTGGTCTGGTATGGTCTGGTCCACACAGACCACATTTAACAAAAAATGAACACTTTGTTAAGTCAACCACACTAAAATTGAACCAATAACTTAGGGAAAAAATTATCTTTTTTTTGCCTTAAAACAAAAAATCCAACATGCATGAATAATTTTGACTCCCTAAATCTTAGTAAATAACAAAAATGCAAAGTCGAAGAATCCCAACTCGAATCATAACGTCACAAACATTTACATAATGTCATATAGAGACACGATCGTCTCTATTCTCTAGTGAAATGTGGTGGTCAGTGAAGGAGGGGACGAGATTCTGAAAATTAAGGTTGAGACTTGAGTTTCGTTGGGGGAGTTGGGAGAGTGGTCGAGTGAGATACTAACATGTACTAGGAAGTCGGCTAGATCCACGGTTTGGTCCGGTAAACCGCGGTCTAGACCAGACCAAGAGATCAAAACTTCATATAATATAGACTAGGGTGGCAATGGGTAGGTGGGGTGGATTTTAGTTTCAAATTGACTCACCCGCTCACTGCCGGGTTGGTATAATTGTGACCCACTATCCATCCACATTCTTCTGCGGGTTGGGTTGGGTGGGTGGCGGATGAGTGCGGTTGGGTTGTTTTTAACTCGCAAAAGCAATTCTCCACCTAGCCGCTAAGAAAGTTTGATAACATTTTATAATAAGTTCCTTATAAATTAGTAAGATTGTATCAATTTAAACACTTCCCGCTTTGTCTCATGTGAATCCATGTAGTATATACATACAAAATTTCAATACTCTACCAACCAATTGTGTAGAGAATTTGAGAAAAGTGACGCACATTTCGATTTTGATAAAATTAATAGCTTATAATGTGAATCCAATATCTAATGGGTATTACACAACAATAACCAATAATAGTAGTCTAAAAATATTTTTTATTCATTATTTGTAGAAGTAGATGACCAGTGTGTAGTGCGATTTGGATATATTATGCATATTTGATAGCATAAGAAAAAACATTTTATCATGTAGTGCGGTTCATTCGGGTGACCCGCAATCCACCCACCACCCACACACATAACTCCGGGTTGGAAATTTATCAACCCGTAATTCACCCACTATTTACGGTTCAGATTATTTGTAGGTGGATCGATATCAACCCGCGGATTAACCACCCACGTGCCCACCCCTAATATAGACTATGGACCAGACCAGACCATTCTTCACGGTCTACGGTCTCGACCAAACTGTGCGGTCTGGTTTAGTCCATGGGTTTTCAAACGGTATGATCTATTTTCCCGACCCTAATGGGTATGGGCAAAATTGCCACATATTAACAAAAAGTAAAAGAATGAGACTGAGGGAGTGATGGAGAAAGAGAAGGTTCGAGCAATGTGGTTGGGCTTGGCTGCTGTAGACTAGGTATGACAATGGATCGGGTTGGGGCGCGTTTTGCCAAAACCAAATCCAAATTCATGGGTTTGTCCGCCAAAAAAACCAAGGGTAAAACTCGTTGGGTTTGAAAAACTCAAACCCAATCCAACCCGCTGGGTACCCGTGGATTTTTATGTAAAAAAATTACAATAACAAGTTTCTTCCAAAATAAAAGTTTAACATAAATTTTCTCATTCAAATTATCCATACAAAAAACACTAATCTAGAGCATGCAAGCAAACCGCAAATTATCAATACAAATTGTTCAAAATTAAAGATAAACATCTATAAACAACATGATTAATTGAAAGCTTTTCTTCCTAGTCAACTAAACTTCAATCTTCACTCTCCACTCCATAATATCAACTTCATTATACACAATTAGAAAGAATAAATTAGGTATGTCTCCACAAACATTAAGAAGATTAATTGTTTAAGGAAGATATTGCTTAGAATATTACATATATCGAAAAAATTAATTATATGAGTGTGGACGGGTACCCACGACCGGGTATACTTTAACCCAAACCCATCCTGTGAATAGTGTAGCGGATTTAAACCCAAACCCGACCCAAAACCTGTCAACACGAATTTTACCTTGTTTAACCAGGTTGGGTCGAATAGGATACCCGTGAGTTCAGGTTTTGTTTCCATTCTTGTTGTAGACTGTAGTAATAGCATAGCGTTGTTTGCTATAAAATTCAGTTGGCGCCAAAGAATGACGAGGCAGCAGAATATTAGATTTGGATGAGACGAAGACAAATGAGATTGAGAAACAAAGCATCCTTCTTCCCTTCCCTATCCACTCCTCCATGATTGCTTACCTCACCGACACTCCCACTCCCTTCCATCTTTAATAAAACTACATCACCGCCTGCAATCTCTCCCTCTCTCTTGAGGCACAAATTCAGCAGCTCTCCCTTTACAGGGTTACCTCCAAGGTTCGATTCCTTCCTCCTTCCTATCTGGGTGTTGTTACTAATCACTCTTCCTTGAGCCTCCCAGTTGGGGCCTTCACTCACTGTGTTTATTGTAATAGAACAGTAAGTAAGAACCCACAAAGATTCATGGAAGTTTCTGCAGAAGCTAAATGTAGCGCCTCTCCATCATCCGGCGGCTACGGCAAACCTCCCTGGATATTCAAGGGCAGGCATGTGTTCTTCTGAATTCAACTCAACCCAATTTTCCTCACTCTTTGGGCTTTCAGTTCTCTAATTTCTCCACCTTTTCATTTCTGCATTTTGCAGAGCCTTGTACCAGCTCCATCTCGTCAAGGCAGAAACTGCTCGAGCATTCATTCCAAAAGAGTCCAAGCTAGTTGAAGCTTTTGGGTAATTGGGTTTTTTTTTTCTTCCGGGCGAGCTTTTAATTAGTTCATATATGTGGAGTTCAATGTGTAATTAGTTCAGGTTATTTCACCTTGCAGATACACTCTAGGTGGTTTCTTCCTCGCAAACTATGAAGATAGCCCCGCTGGATCTTTCGATGAGGTTTCCTGTTCCCACCTTATCTTCTAATAGTTCACCTAATCATCACACATTATTATTCCAGAACAACTTTGTGGATTTTATTAATCTGAAAAACTGAATTTGCCCAAAAGAGGAAAGCAGCCAACTTTCCTAATTGGCCAATGAATTATCATTACTGTGATAAGAGTTGAAGTAACTGTTGTAGTTGGGTTTTCTCCCCTGCAGCTGGTTGTGATTGCTGGAATTGTGTGGAACCCGCCAACATCTTGCGCGTACGTTGTACTTGCTACCTTCTCCTTTTATCCTGTTTGTTTATGATGATGAATTCTGTGGGTGGAAGATGGTTTTCAGTTATGAAACACAAGCCTTTTTTAAAAAGTGGGAGGGGAAGAAAAGCATTGCAGTGAGAATATCTAGCTACAGCAATGTATCTTGATCCCTGCAGCTATTGGATATTTTGTGCTCCAGTTTTCTCCTTTAAGTAGATGAATCCTCCCTGGACAGAAGATCCTCAATCTCCAAAAGTTGATTCTTTATAGAACTTGTGCAACTTGCCTCCTCTGTGGGGGCTAGTTGAGCAAGTTGGGGTTTTTCTCATGTACCGAGTGATTTCATTAGGCACCTGGTCTTGTTAGTAGTCGGCAGTAAAGCTCTAGTAATGGACATCAATGAAGTTGGCTTCAATTAATAGAATTCAAATATTAAACTCGCGTTTAGTTGGAACTTTGATCCCAATTCTGTAATTTGCAGATGGGCAGCCAGGGTACTTGTTAACAGTGAAGATGCATGTCATCATGGACGCAAGGTTTGTGGCCCCAGAAATTCATTTGGACCTAATTCTTAATCCTTTCACGTTTCCTGTTAACCTTTATGGCCGGAAAATCAGATGAAGTGAAAGTTAATTATCAAATGGAATTGGATCATACTGCAGGAAGTTGGACTGCCGAGTCACGTTGCCAAGTTCTCAAAGGTGTGATCTCAGTTGGTTTTCATACTTCAGTATTGCTATGGTGAAGCTTCTACCATACTTCTCCATGTTGACAATATTCGATATTTCCCTTATGATCATGCAATGAATGATTCCTGGAGCAGAGAACAATGGCAGTTCCCATGACTCGGAAGAGTAGAGCCAGTGGCTTTCTCAACATGATTGGCTTGGGTGCTTCTGCATCTACTCTCACAGACCGCTTGGATGTTCAAGTCACAGAAATGGCAGCTCGTTCACCAACTAATAACGTCTGTAATATCAACATCGCAACTCTTGGTACGTTTTATCTATGTAAAGCAAATTATCTGCTAACCTGAATCGCATTAGAATCCACTTGGACTCCATTTCTTACTTCTTGTTAATGTCTTATGGCAGTTCCAGGGATGAAATTGGACCGGTGGAGAGGGCCAGAGATCAAGTTATCATTACCGAGTTTCAGGTAGGAAAAAATAAACAAAGATAGAAAGGAAAAAAATGGCTGATGATATGCCATGTCTTGGCCTGAGCAGATACTGATTATTGATTACTGTAACTGAAAAAATGCAGCGGCCGAACTGAGTGCAATCCAAACCTACTGAAGTACACTTGCAACCTTAAATGCAGGTATAATATGCTTCACTCCATTCTACCTACTATAAGCTTGCTACTTCTTATAGAAGAAAAACTTTTTGCTTGACTGGAATATGTTGACAGGGTAAGGGCAGTGCAGCCAGCGATAGCATCTGTGTCGATGCAAGATCCAGAAGAAGCTATGGATGACTCTGCTGCTGTAGATAGCAATCCAAACCTAACTCTGTCTGTTCTCTTATCAAAACCCATTATAGCTTTGGAATTCAGTTCTCTTGAAATGAAAGTGGGAGCCCCACTTGTAGTAGTTCCCCACTTTTCTAAAAGCTCCAGTAGAACCTCCTTAGGAGTTCCCTAGCTTCCAAAATAAACTGCAGTTCCAATCCCTTTATTTCTTTCCTTGTTTCATAGAACTCCACTTCACAAACTACCAACATATTCTTCAAAAGGGAAAATAGAAAGGAACTATACAGATTTCCTACATTCAATTTCCACAACTTGAACCTATCGTCAGAAAGCCTCAGGTAGAGGCTGAGCTTTTAGGAAGGCCTTGAATAAAACCAGTGACCTCTCAGGCTGAGAGAATGGTGCTTCATGGGATGCTCCTCTTATGGTAGCAAAAGATAAGATATTCCCATACACTTGAGTCCACCCACCAACCTGGAAAATGAAAAGAAAAAGCATCATCAAATCAAAATCCCCTAACAAATACAATCTCCATTCCACTCCACAACAAAGGTACAAACTTCTCTTATTAGTTATTACCTGCTGCCCAGCAAACCAAACTCTGTAAGGGACAGAAGTCGTCAAACCCAATTCCTTAGCCAGTCCATTCACCAGCATCCTACTTCCAGTCAGTGGAATAACTGAGTCTTGGTCTCCACTGCAAAAGTTTAACACCTTGATAAAGTCATCACTTTCATTCATCATAGAAAAACCATGTCTCTTTCTCACTCAACTATAAACCCTAACCTGTAAACTAGCACTGGAATTCCGGCCTTGATGAGCCTCCCCACGGCCCCTATGGTCGGTATCTCCAAATCAAGCAGCTCATAATCCAGTATGCTGCAAAATTTCAATAACCCAGATAGAAAGTGAGGAACTTTTCATTTCAGACTTCCAAGGCTGCGAGGAAATGAGAGGCCATGTATTATTACTTGCTACACACGCTCCATCTCCGAACTCCAACGAGACGAGCATGGAGAGCCATCTGGACATCGACCCTGTTGAGGTAATTAACAGTCTCGTCTTCCACGCAGACATCGATCGATTCAGCAACTTCCTGAGGACGCAGTGCTTTGGTTTGAGAGAGGACTGACGAAATGCAGACATCGAGAGTGACATCATACTTGTCCACGAATTTGCTGGTCTCGGTGCTGACTTGGGTCATCACCCTCGAACAAGGAGCAGAGACTGAACCTCTGTAGTACTCGCTGACATAGCGGGAGTAGTTGCAAGTGGAGGTGAACATTTTGTAGGTGGTGTCTGAGATTAGGCCGTGGGACCAGAAGAACTCTGCCCTCGAGTTGAAGTCTGTGGCAAATTCAAGCACTGGATTCCCCAGCTGGAATGATAGAACAGAATTAGTAAAATGAAATGTGAAGGCCTCTACTTTTTGTTCTTTGCAAAATTTCAACTACTTACAGCAAGTCCTTTCAAATTGAAGAGATATTCCTTCTTGTTGTGCTGTAGCATTAGCTCTGCCAGTTGGGGTATGTAATGACCTGTTCATTAGTTCCATTCAAACCATCAGAATAAGAAGAAGATAGAAAGATGCTATCTTTGTTAAGCCAAAGGAAGCTCAAGTACCTGCATAGCTTTCTCCTGTTATGAACAAGCTTCTGTTCTTGTACTGTGGGAATTTGAGGAGCCATTTTTGCAAGAAGGCTAGATTGTCCCTGGCTGCAGACAGAATACAGACAAAAAACAAATAAAGCAGCTGAAATCAAAAGAAAGAGAGGAAAACAGTGTCATGGCTGTAAAGAAGAGCTTCTGTCATTTCACAGACTAAACAGCAAAACTAGATCGCATTAAGCATTATCTGTTAAGTTGGATGTGAAATCAGAAAGAAAAGAAAAAACACATGGAGAGAAATATTCTTTTGATTCATAAGAGTACAGAGAAGAAAGAAGGGTGTGATTAGATAGACACGAACCGGTAATGAGATCAGTGACGCCGTCATATGCAGAGGAATCCGCGGCATAAGAGAACCCAACTCCAATTGGCGCCTCCAAGTACAACATATTCGCTTCTGCCATATAAAACACCATTCGAGAACTCAGAATTTCATGGCCACTCTGTTTCTTCCCCAAAACCACATTGAGCAATAACAGAAAGAGCAAAAAAGAGGTATGAGTAGTGAACTAGCACTGAACCTGTGTTCCAGCTGTGCTCATTCCTAATCAAGACTTGCCCATTTGGTCTGAACGGCCCATTCTCAGAGAAAGCGCCAACTCCCAGGGAAGAACAACCGGGCCCTCCGTTGAGCCAGAGGACGAGCGGCTTGGAAAATGGGTCGAATTCAGCTTCAGCAAAGTAGTAGAACAGAGATTTCTGCTTCTTTTCGTCGACGGTGATGTAGCCAGAATACTGCTGGAACATCACCGGCGGCTGGCCGGGCAACTGAACCACTCTGTCCAGCTCGCATGGACCAAAACAGTCGACCATCACAAGGCATGATGACATTAACATCTGCAGCAGAAACAGCACCAATGGCTTCATCATCATCCTTCTTTTGTCTTTCTGTTTGTTGTATGGGAAATGGAAGGGAGGAAAGAAAAGAAAGAGGGAGTTGGGGGGAAATGTTGCTCAAGAGGGAGTAGCAGGCATTATAAAGAGAGGAAATTGAACATATGGGTTCGAGTATATTCCTTGGATTATTTGATGAGGTGAAGTATGATTGAGATTATGCGTACATGTGTATAAAGATGGTGTCTTTCTTTCTGCAGAACTGGAAAGAGGAAAGTGGAAGGCAGAGAGTGGAAGTTAGTGGAGTGGGGGGGTGGGCTACTGCTACTGCTACTGACTTGCTCTGCTGCTGCAGCTGCAAGTGTACTTGTATTCTACTATGTAATGTAACTCCAAATAGCGATTTTTTTTACCTCTACCCTGGCTTGCACTATTTTTTACTTGTTTATGGGTTTCTTTTCCTTTGGGTGCTTAATTAGCTTTTCATTTTGCTAGTTTCGGCTTTTGTGGTGATAAATATGCAGCACTGCAGTTGTACACAAGAAATTTGGTACATTCCGTAAATGTTGAAAATTGAACAGTCCACGAGTTTGGTTCTGTTTCCACAGTGGAAGCGAGCAAGGGAGCAAAATGACAATATCATGAAGACCTACCCTACTCTTGTAATAGAAGAAGCAAGAAACCTTTTTCTAGACATGATTGTGGAGGCATTAATCAACGGGAAGCACTAACGAAGGCACGCCAGCCACAATGATGAATGGATTTTAGGAGTGGTTTGGAAGTTGCGATTGTTAAATAGATGTATTGTTGAGAATGCATGTATAATATTATACATGTATTGTCGAATTTGATGCATCCTAGAATATAACGTTTGGAATGTGTGATTATGTATGTCACATCAACTAAAAGGTAAAACAAAACAATCTCAACTCAACTATCTCAACAATATAGTAATCACTCAAAATGAGTGATAGTTTCTTTCACATCACAAAAACAATTCATGTATTGTTTATGCTAAAAAATAAAAAAAAATGATGTATTCTAAACAATACATGCATAGTAACAATCTCAGCAAAACAATCGCAACTTCCAAACAATCCCTTAATTTATTTTTGAGTAAATACAATTTAATATCCAAACCTTTTATTTTAAGCAATATAATAGCCAAACCTTTTCGAAAACAATCTAATATCCAAATCGTCAACTTTCTGTCTGTTTGACCGTTAGTTGACACTTCAAAAAAGTTCGAAGTACGACACTTCATCAATATCCATCGATATCTTCTCTGAAAAACCACCAACATGTCGTAGTTCCTAACCCGAGAAGTCTATGACTCCACCATGATGGTATAGAATATCTAAATATTCAGTCATCTGCAATGCCAAAACAAGAAACAAAGTTGTATTGTGACAATTTCCCCTAAACAAAGCTTTTTTGAAGTGTCAACTAACGGTCAAACGAACGGAAAGTTGATGATTTGGATATTATATTGCTTTCGAAAAGGTTTGGCTATTATATTGTTTAAAATGAAAGGTTTGGATATTAAATTGTATTTACCCTTTATTTTTTTACAACAATGATTCATGGAATTGGTGGGTTAAAATAGAGGTTAAAGACACATTTGGTCACTAAGATTACTAAATCGAGACATGTATAGTCACTAGAAAAAGTTAATATCAAATTTGGTCACTATAATTACTAAAACGGGACACATTTAGTCACTCGCCGTTAGTTACCGTCCAACTTCGTTAACAGAGTCTGTTATGTGATGACATGGCTAACGTGAGCGCCTAGTCAGTGCCTTTTTGGGCCGGAAATGGTCAAACCCGACTCGCCACGTCACTAAACCAGCCATATCATAACCCCAACCCATGAACCCAACCCGACCCTGAACCAAACCCGACCCACTTAACAAAACAAATTCGTCATCCCTCTCCTCCTAGCATATCAACATGAGGATTCTGCTCTCCCCCAGCAGTCGCCGACATCGGTGCCAACCTGCTCTCGCGTCCAACACTTGCTCTACATCCTCCACGAGCTCTCCTCTAAACCCAGAAGCGCCAACCACCACCGTCGACCTCTGATTCCTCACCCACCACTTATCCTCTGCTTCTCCCCCGCTACCACTATGGAAACCAACCAGATCCGAGAAACCCCATTCTCGATCGGACCTCTGATCCCTCACCCACCACTTATCCCCTACTTCTCCCCTGCTGTCGCCATGGAAACCCCATTCTTGATCGAACATCTGATCCCTCACCCATCACTTATCCCCTAAGTTCTTGAAACCCCTAATCTCGACGAGAGAACAGAGTTCTTGAAAACCCATTAACGTAGTCATACTCCTCCTCGTCCAACCCGCAATCGAAGTTGAGGACGTAGCTCTCGACGTTGTAATTGAACTTCTAAAACCTCCATCAATTGAACTTCTATTGCTGGTTTTCGCTTTCCCCTATTTTCACTCCTCCCCTGTTTTGTATCAGAAGGTAATTGTTTCTTTCGTCGTTGGCTATTTTGTTCCTCCGTCCAGAGAATAAGGAACGAGAGGTGGAGGTGGGGAGATGAGGAACGAGAGGAAGGAGAAGTGAGGCGGGTTTGCTTTTGTTAAGTGGGTCGGGTTTGGTTCATGGGTTGGATTGGGTGTATGACATGGCAAGTTTAGTGACGTGGCGGGTCGGGTTTGACCATTTCTGACCCACAATGATGCTGACTAGGCGCTCCGGTTAGCCATGTTAGCACATAACAGAGTCTTTTAACGGAGTTGGACGGTAACTAACGACGAGTGACTAAATGTGTCCCGTTTTAGTAATTATAGTGACCAAATTTGATATTAACTTTTGCTAGTGACTAAACATGTCCCGATTTAGTAATCTCAGTGACCAAATGTGTCTTTTAACTCGTTAAAATAATATAGAATGGACAGTAGACTTTTTGAGTTTGGTCTTGTGGGTAAAAACTAAAAAGTGGACACTGAAGTGGGTGGAAGAAGGCCATTATGACAACTTTTGAGGTGTGCGGCCTGAGCCTGCATATGCAGTTCTCCCCTCCAGGCTGCTGTGCAGTGTTCTTTGCAGCAGCGCTGTGGCCATTCACATTCTCAAATGAAAAGGTCGACAACTACCAAAGAGAAGCAAAATTAGACTTTTGGGACTAATTGTCTTATGTTCAGCGTTCTTATACTTCCTTTTAGAATTTGGGGTGTTTATCAATGCGCTGCAAGCTTCTGTTTCCAATGCCAACAATCTTAATTAGCGCAAGTTAATTGGGGGGCAACAAAAGCTGCGTTGCTTTTCATGTATGTAACCTCGCTGAGCTAATGGTCTTTGACTAAACCACCCAACCCATATGTCCGTTAATGGTCTTTGACTAAACCACCAAAACCCATATGTCCGTTGGGTCATACCTGCGCTTCTTTCTTATAGGCTTGCTTACAAAATTTCATCAAGCTAGAAATATTTGACCGTTTGAGTGGTTTACATATTCTTTTCCAACACACCAAAAGGTAGAAAGTTAAGCGATACGGTGGTTAGCGGTTAACCAACAAGGAAAAAAATCATACGATAACTAAATCGATAAGTCTTATTGGTTAACTGTTTCTTATCGATTCGGTTAGCTGTTCCTGTTAGTTTGATGGTTAGCCAATAACCAGTATAACATATACTCCAACAAGTACGGTTATACCTAATCAGACCAAATATCTAACCCATAGCTTTGATTTCCTTTCATGAAATATAATATATCGAAACAGAAACCACTTGTAATACACAAACCATCATCCATTTAAGTATAACAAGTGCTATCTAATATCATTTCTATCCACAAACATAAACTTAAAAGAGACAATGAAAAAAGAGTATTAAATATTAAAGTCAAACTCCACCACAAAACATTAAACACGAACACCACAAGATCATCATCATTCACAAATAATAAAGAAGCAAATATTACTAGGATGCAGGTTACGCTATGTCGATTGCAAATGGGAGTGGTCATAGAGCGTAGACTTTCAAATTCCAACTCTTAAACATATTTTGCAATCGGTGTGAATTGAGATGTTTCGTGATATGTGTTTTCTTACTATATTTTATTGACCCGACTACCCATTGCACTTAATCGGGTTGGATGGGTAATTTGTTGCTATTCTTTATTCTTTATACACCACCCACGCTAGGAGCAGGAGGCACTTATAAATAGGATGCTCATTTATGCTTCCTGGGCAGTTGCGTTAGAAGATAAAAATCGAAATAACTAAACGAATATGAACACGAGATTTACGTGGTTTCCCCAACGTTTGTACGTTAAGACTAGTCCACGACACAAGGCGTTTAGTTCTCTTATTCACCAAAATCATATTACAGAAACAATACACCACCGGATTTCACTCGGGGTACAGTAGAAGGCACCATATATATATGACCGACTACCAAAGCTAGCCGAACCCTAGCTCTCCCATGAGACTAACAAAATAGATAGAAGGCTATTTACAAAATGGTCCACCAACTTATATCTTCTAACACCCTCCCTCAAATTGATGATAGTGACGCATCATCAATTTGTGAGCTAGAAACCAATGACGAGCTGACGCCACCGCTTTTGTCAACAAATCAGTCGTCTGATCTTCAAAAGTGATGTAGGATATCTCAATGACACCGTTGGTTACTAACTAGTGGATATAGCGCACATGCACTTCAATATGTTTAGTGAGGTCACGCAGTACATGATTAATGGCAATCCGGATAGCACTAGTGCTATCTGCAAAGAGACGGACAGGAACATGACACACGACTCCAAGGTCAGCCAATAGACGTTGCAGTCATACAATCTCAGAAGTTCCCTCACTCATGGAACGGAACTCAGCCTCAGTAGAAGATTTGAAATGCGATCCTAATTTTTACAACGCCAAGATATAAAGGAGTGGCCGAGCTTCACACACCACCTCGAAGTAGAACACCGTGTATCCAAACAACCAGCATAGTCAGCATCCGCGTATGCTTCCAAAACAGGATCCCAGACGCAAGAGAATAACATCCCCACATTAGGCGTCCCTTTTAGATATCGTAAGATGTGCTAAAATGCACCCGATGGTGGGTACGTGGTGCCGATATGTATTGACTAACAACCTGAACAGCATATGCGATATCTGAACGTGAATGTGTGAGATAGATCAAACTCCCTACAATGATGTGATAGGCCGTGCCATCGGACAAGGGTTTCCATCAGACTGATGAAGTTTGAGATTTTGCTCCATGGGTGTACCACAGAGCTCGCAGGTGTCCATCTGAGCTTCTTCAAGAATATTAGCGATATATTTTCACTAACGCACATGAATACCAGCAACAAAATCAATTTCCAACCCCAAGAAGTATGCCAACGAGTCCAACTCCATAAGATTAAAGGAGGCACGCAATGTGGTTGTCAGAGACTGAATACCCTCATGATCATCACCACTAATGATCATATCATCAACATATATTAAGAGAACATGCAAACCTTGATTAGTAGTACGGAGCAAGAGAGAAGAGTCATTCTCACTCTGAACAAATCCAGCAAGAAGAATGGTCGTTTGAAACTTCTCGAATCACGCACGCGGAGCCTGCTTCAGACCATACAGAGATCGTCGTAAAAAACATACCATAGAACTATCACCCTTGGTATACCCCAAGGAACGCTCCATGTAGAAAGTTTACTTCAAGTCGCGATGTATGAATGTGTTTTTTACATCAAGCTGCACTAAACGCGAGCCTTTCATGGTGGCCACCGCGAGTAAGTTGCGAATCATGGTGGCCACCCCATACTGCTGCTTAAAGCCTTGAGCAACAACACGAGTCTTAAATCGTTCAAGGGAGCCATCAGGAAGAAGTTTGACATTATACACCCATTTTCTACCAATAACAGGACACTCTGGTCGTCCTTTCACAAGATCCCAGGTATGAGTGGCCTCTAAAGCATCAGTTTCTGAGGTCATGGCATCCTCCCACTAAGGCAGGCCACTATCCTGCTTATAGGTGGCAGGAACAAATATGGGAGGAGCCGAAGTAGAAAATGCCACGAAGTTAGAATAACAAGTTGGGGCTTGGCCACGAGTACTTCGAGTAGTGAGACGGAGCTGAGGACCAGATTCAACACCCGATCCCAAGGAATCATCATCGTCCATGGAGGACGAACCGAAGGAAGACTACAAGGAAGACTGCTGGGAGGAAGTTGGGGAAGCGGAACCTGCACTGTCCACAGAGGAGGACTCAGCCGACAAGGACATCGAGCTGGAAGGTGGCTACGGGGGATCTACATCCTCTATAATGATTGAAGGAATAGCCAGGAATGGAGAAACCGACACCAAAAAAACCAAGTTGTGAGTTGGACGAAGACTCAGCAGTAGTATAGTATGGACTATGGAGTATGCTCAAGGAATACCACATGACAAGAAATCCGGAGACGCTAATTAAAGACATCGTAACACATTTAGCCCTTATGTTTTTCACTGTAGCCCACAAACATGCATTTTGCTGCCTTCGGTGAAAGCTTATTCCTCTCATGACAAGGAAGGACACAGCACACACAGCCAAAAACCCGGAGCCATTTTTAGTTCGGAATCCAGGAGTAAAGGGCTTCATACGGACTGCGACGACCGAGGACAGGAATGACTTGGCTATTAATTAAGTAGACTATCGTATGAACCCCCCCAAACCAAAAGTTAGGAGGAACTCGAGAATGGAACAGTAATACACGAGTGAGCTCCAACACATGACGATACTTTCTTTCAACCAACCCATTATGTTGGGAGACACAGGGACAAGATTGTTGGGGAAGAATTCATTTTTGGCGAAACAAGGCCTGTAGCGGATTAGACAAGAACTCCCCACCTGGATCAGAACAAAAAATCTTATTCACCTTACCAAACTGCGTAGATACCATCTAAATAAAGTCCTAAGCAATAGTCAATAGTTCAGACTTATATTTCAAAAAATAGACCCATGTAAATCGCTTGGCATGGTCTATGAAGAGAGCAAAATATCGAAATCCGATGCGAGCAAGCACGGAAGACGAAACCCATAAATCAGTATGAACTAAGTCAAAAGATTTTGAGTAGACGGTAGAGCTGGAGCTAAAAGAACGTTGAGAAATCTTGGCTTCCACACAATGTATCATTCATGATCAATAATAGAACGAACTTGACTAGATAACTAATTATTCTTAAACGTCTCAAATAGTTTCGATTTATTCGGGTGGCCCAACCGAAAATACCACAAATCCCAATCCAAAAGTTTAACCGAATATCCAGAATAAGAACCACACAAAGATGAAATAGAAGAATCAGGTTGAGGAACTCCTGGGGCTCCTCCAACCGCACGCTTGAAGATCCCCATGACAGAACCATCACCAAGTGCAGTACCTCGAGGCGTTCCACCCCTATTAACGTCCCCACGTAAGTAGCTTTCAAGCATGTACACTCGGCCCCGCTTACACCCTCGGCCTATCTCCGCCCTCGGTCTGATGTCCTTCATAGTGCAACCATGGACATCAAAGGTGATATGACAGCCACCATCAGCCAACTGCCCGACGGAGACTAAGTTAGGAGCCAACTGAGGAACATAATAAGCTCGAGGAAGAGATAATCGACGAGAGTGCATAGACCCCACACCATCCACAGAGATATTAGACCCATTCGCAACCTGTAAGCTAATACTCGAACTCGGCTGTAAAGTCTCAAAAGCATACCTATCAATAGTCATATGGTTAACTGTCGCATAATCAAGATGCCACTGAGAATGAGAAGGCATACCCATAAAGAACGTAGCAATGAGAGTAGTATGAAGCGACTCCTGGATAGCTTCACGAACCAGACGTCTTATGTCCTCTTGAGAGATACTCGTTGCCGAGCTAGAAGAAGAGGTCGTATCCCCTGGGTCATCAGAAGGTGCCAACGTAGTGGCATAAGCAGGGGCAGCTGGACCATGACCCGCAGAGCTAGAAGAAGGACGCTGGCCACCGCCTCCCTTCTGGCGGTTGAGTCTTGCGAAGATTGAATAGTCGCCAATGAGATGTCCAACAACCTTGCAATAATTACACACTTGCTTCTTGGGACAACGAATATGAATGTGAACCGACTCTTTACAGTGATAGCAAATAAATCTCCCTGGACACGGTACGACCAAACTGAGGGCGACCGGACTGAACAACAAAAACAGAACCAGAATCACTGGACTGGCCATCAAGGCGTTTAGTTCTCTTATTCACCAAAATCATAGTACAGAAACAATACATCACCAGAGCATATATATATATGGCCGACTATCAAAGCTAGCCGAACCCTAGCTCTCCCACTAGACTAACAAATAGATAGAAGGTTATTTTCAAAATGGTCCACCAACTTCTATCTTCTAACAAGTTGATGGGGATATATATAAAACCAGAGAATTCACATTCTCTCTCTTTGGAGTTGGCTCACTATGCCGCTCTCGGTCACTCTCCTCTCAAATACTGACTTGAACTTTGGAGCAGGTCTCTGTCGACCACAATCGGCGGGTCCTTTTTTGCATATGTTCATCTCGAAGGCTGGTAGCGGACGTTGATCAAAAGGTCAGCGATCACCAGACCTCAAACATGTTGAAGTAGGCTGCTCCAAACTTGCCATCAACACTCCCAAAATTTTCAAGGGTCTGGAACCTCATTAGAATCCACCTATCTCCATACGTGTTGGAACTAGTATTAGCACTATGCTAATAAGCTGAGGGAAATGGAAATGTAAGTGCGTATGCAAGTGTGAGGTGAGAATGAGGTCAGGCGGATGATGATGAATGATTCCCACTCGATGATGATGATAATATAATATTAGCTGGGGAAAAAACTATTATGTGGAGTTGAAAGAAGAAGAAGAAGAAGAAGCAGACACGCGGTTCTTGAATAGATACTAGAAAAGGCAAAAGAGAAAAGGGACCATTGGAAAAGACACATTATTATGAGCAAACAAAGGAAAGAAAGCAAATTCCAGACACAGATACATTACATGGATATACACTCACTCAAACAAATTCGATGATACGAATATTTATCATAAAAGTCCACCAATTTCACCTTTTGAATTGGTTGGTGTTGCCTTTAGTCTTTCTGCTTGTTGGATTATCGGCCCCCTCTCAAAACCAACTTTTATTTTCTTTGGTTTGGTTTGGTTTGGTTTGGTGGGTAACAACCTCTCAAAACCAACTTTCACATCCAAATAGATACCCCTTTTCTTCTTTCCTTTTTTGACAAAAAAAAAATAATTTACCATTACTTTCATGGCCAAACGTCCGACTTTAGGTTGGTTTGGTTGTCATAAAGATTTTCCCAATTAATTTTGATGGCGTAATTTCCTCTGGAAACAAATGAGATTGATGCCCTAATGGTGCAAAAAGGTAATGAGGGTTGAGGCTTGAGAGGGGGACCATGATCTCATTTGATACAACCGCCCACGACTAGGAGAGATGAAGAAGATCAAGAAATTGTAGTCCGTAGATAAGGGTTAGGTCAAAAAATCACGGGGCTTTTGGTTCGAGAAATTTTACAATGCTATATAGTATTTGTGCTATAGGGTTTTAACTTTATGGTACAACTTAAAATTGTACATTTACGTTATAGTACAACTTCAAATTGTACCTATACTTTTTGTACAAATTCTTTTATGGTACAACTTGAACTTATACCTTTATGTGATGGTACAACTTCAAGTTGTAAAGTTGTACCATAACATAATGGTACAAATTGCTTTATGGTACAACCTAAACTTATACATTTAATGTTATGGTACAACTTTAAGTTGTACATTAAAGCACCAATACTATATAGCATAGTAGAATTGCTCTTTTGGTTTGCTGTGTTAGTTAATTGATGAATTGCATGCGATTAGATCTTGTAAAAATATGATTTGATCACGTGAAGTAGACAGTACTACTAGAATTTGTCTCGAAAAAGTGAAAAAATATACATAACCGTGAATTTTTAATCTCTTGTTTCTAATATATTTGAGAAATGTATTCTCATATATTTGAGACTGAATTGTTTTGTCACAATTCAAATCATATGTACAAATCTAATTGCACAGAAATTCCTTTACTTTCGTTCATTTCCCTCCCTGCCCTTCCACCCATAAAGCAACAAAAGGGGTAGTGTTCTCATCCACCCTTTTCCCTTGCAAAATTTCTCTCTTTTCGCTCCTTTCGCTCGTTTTTCCTTTTTAACTTCCTCCCAAGGCTACTATCAAGAATAATCAGCTGGAAACGGGGAACAAAGGATGATACATGCAGCTGCCTGCCAATCACGACGTATAATACACACTCTAGTTACTGCCCGCACATGAAACAACGAAAAGAAACAGCAAACTTTACAGACGCAGTGTGGCCTCTTTCCTTGGTTTTTGCTTCGGCTATCTCCGTGAAGAGTTGCTGTCAAGATCCTCTATCTCTCTCCGCGATGCTTCCCATAGCCGATACTCCAACCCCAACTTCTTCATCTCTATCAGACCTTGCTCCACTGCACAGTACATGCACCATTAATAACCCCTCCACTAAACATCAAGCCCGCCCTACCCGAAAGAAACAAACATGTTCAACCCTGGTTCCATTAGTTACATACCATCGACAGCATCGTATGAACTCGGTGAGTGCTTGCTCCTGTTGATCCAGAACTGAAGCCGCTCCTTTGCAATCTCCTCCTCCACTCCGTTTGCTTTAGCTCTCCCCCAGAAGTACGTCAGCCAAGCCTCCTTGAAAAGCACATCTTCAGACTCTTCCGGGCTAAGTTCTGCCCAAGAAAAGAGATGAGCAATGACAATATGACTCAAATTAAACTACGCAGATAGTCATAAAGATGAGCACTTGATGGTTACCGAATGTGCTTACCAAATGCCTCCATATACTTCGGATCACCTGGTGATTTGAGCTCTAAATGCAAAAATAATAAAAATGAAGCAATCAATCAATAGGGTTGAGCATGGTCCAACTCAATTCATAATCAGATCAAGTCGGGATTGGAACGAAAAGAAATAAAGGATAATAAGGTTCAAAATCAAACTGAACTAAATTGAGAAGGTGAGATTAGACTCAAATATCGGGCGTTAACCCACATTCCTATAAGTCAATAATACAGTTTACTAAAGAAGATGTTAAGAAAATAGTTCCCATTGTTTTGATCTGAATGAAACAGAGGAGAATAAGAAAGAAAAGGGCATGCCTGTGATTGATTGCCGGACAGAATTTGCACGTCGTTGTTGTGCCAGGGCAAGCACAATAGCTTCTTCAACCTTTTGTAATTCGCACACATAAATACACAATCAAGCATTAGTCAAATGCCTTTTCCAAACTCTAAAGTATGTGAAAGTAATTAAGATGGAAAATAATCATTCTTATGGATGACAAATTAAGGTGATGGTGTAATCTAAAGATAACCACCTTCAAGGAAGCTAGCTCTTTTAATCCCATTTCAACAGACAGCATACTCTCAATATTTCCTTCACCAGTTAGATCGCTCAGGTCCGGAGCTAGTTTGCTTCTCTTCTCCTTCTCACCATCATCACCACCTATCAAAATGAGAACTTGTTGATCATTAAGATAAAGCTGGATGATACAGTCCAACGATAAGTCATAAGAAGTAGAGTTGATTAGTAACCTTTGTCCCAGCATTCCTCCTTGGCTTTTTGTCCAGCAGAAAGAACAATTTCAAGTGGAAGAGGTGCTAATGATGACCAGTATTCATGCTTTGGCACAGCAACATCCAGACAGATACCATATTTGGCAGCTAAGCCCCAGTAACGAGCAAGCCAACACCGCTTAAGAACAACTTCTTCCTGAAATTTGAATCCAAGTGAGTTATACTCCTTTCTGGGAGCTTAGAATTATGAGGCTCTCTTGCAATAAATTATTCTCTGGACAAACCATTTCTTTCGGAGTCAAAACCACTCTTTGTGTCATTGAATGAAGAGCTTTTACTTCAGATTCAGCTCCGTGAAGTTGTCTCAGTACCACTGACGCCTCATCTTTTGCATTCTGATCATTATACCAAGAAAAGGTTAACAGACTGCCATCAGGATGCATAAAGGAATGAGGCCAAGAGGGGCAATGACTATAGCCTATACTCACTTGAATTGTGGACCTAACAGCAGCAAGTTCCTTATCCACTGCATTCTGCTTTGCATCCTTAAGAACAGCCTGAAGGGCAGACAAAATAAGCCAACAATAAACTTGATTTCTGTCTCGTACTCAAAGCAATAATTAGACGATCATTGGTAAGAGGAATCTTCCCCGGTGCTTCAAAAAACCAAATCAACCCCAAAATTGGCAAAAAAAATCTTAGGTGCGTGAAAAGTGAACTTATATGGTCAAACAAAGTTCATAGAGCAAATAAAGTACCTCTCTTTGACGCAAAGCAGCTTCCTTCCTGCATTTGGTTATGATAGCAAGATTTGTCAGATTTTTGGAACCAATAATAAGGAAAAGGTCAAAAAACAACAAGGCGAAATCAATTCACCTGCTCATCAATTTTGCTTCCAAAGATACTCCATCTCCCAGAGCAGCCACCTAAGTACCAAAGGCAGAAAAGACAAGCAAATCATAGTTTAAGAAACCCTGAAAAGAGAGAATTAAAAGGCATTCGTTCTATCTAAATGATACATATTGAGGCAATCAATCACCTGTTTCTCCAGCTCCCTGACTCTGTCCTCAGCTTCTTGACATCTTTCCTCCTCAGATCGCAGCTGTAAACCAATTATAGATCTTCAGGGACATGCTATACAACCTACAACCATAGTGATGCTAAAAATAGAAACAAAAGAAAATATAATGCACCTTCTCAACCATGCTGTCATTCTCTTCTTGGAGCATATCAAGCTGCAAAACGAGCGAATTCAGTGAGAAATATTGTCGATTAATCAGTGATCCAATGTCACAAGTCATACTTACTTCATCACGAAGAGCAGAAGACTCTCGATGATCTCCCGAATCTTTCGAGTTAAGAAGCACTTCATCAGATGAGAATCTGCAGTAAATGCCGTCCAATGAAAGGAAGCTTAAAGCCGGTTCACTATGTAGCATCAAGTTTAAAATTGTTTTAACTTCTAACAATATCTAAGAATGTCACTGCTACTACCTACCAGGTACTTAATCAACCAGCAACGCAGCCACATAGTTCTTTAACTGAAAGCTCGTTAAGAATTATACCTCTTTCTGTCCCTAAAGCCATTTTTAGGTGGCTCCAGAGGAGGTGGTAACGAGACAGCAGTCCTCAATGACCCTTTACTGGGCGGAACCGGTGGTGCTGCTGCTCGGAGTGAGATCGCCGACCTTCCAGCCGATGTGGAGCGAACCGAGGGAGTTTCCTCAGCAATGTTACGCGGAATCTGCATCATAACATAATAACAGACCCAAAATCCGAAATAGCTTGAGAATGCACATAATCATCAGCATCATCTTCTTTCTCGTTTTTAAATATCGAAATGGTTACCAGCAATGCAGGCATTAAATCAGGTACTAGAAGCTACAGACACGCAACACTAAATTGAGTAATTAACTTAAATGCGGATTAAGGGATGAACTAGCTAGTAATCCCAAATCGAGCATCGTCCACAATTACCGCATTTTGTACCAATCAATTCAACCGAGACGCTTAATTGAATTATCCAAAAGGAGATAAATGGCGGAGGGAATTTACAGCAGGGGAAGGGGATCTGGCGATCCTGGGTGCGGGCTGAGCAGCAGCATTCGAAACAGCGGCAGTGCGGGAGATAGAGAGAGGAGGAGGAGGAGCGCTGTAACGGAAATCGAGGTCGTCAGGGTCGTCGTCATCGTCGTCGGCGGTCTGGGAAGCCATGACCTGAGCGAGGCGCTGGGCGGCGGCTTTGGCGGCGAAGTTCTGGTTTCGCTTGATGGTGGAGAGGCCCGAAGAGGCAGAGGAGGAGCGGGCGTGGGGTGGGATACGGGACGGCGACATTACGGGAGAAACACCGCCGCCGGCGCCGGAATCGGAGCCCCATTGCCGGTTCATAGTGTGGGCAAGCAGAATAGAAGCAGGTAGGGGAATGGGGGGAGTGGCGTGCTGAGATCAGGAGCTAGATCTTGGTGGCGATGCCGACAAAAATGGAGGAGAAGCAAAATCCAAACAAACAAAACAAAAAGGAAAAGAGGAAAGAAATCGAGAACGTTGCCCAGTGGCGGAGCGGTGCTGTGTGAAGTGACTGAAGTGTGAGATTGAAGATGAGACGAGAGTCGGCAGCTGGAGCTGCGAGTTAATGCTAAGAGAAGCTGCGAAAGTATCAATTTGATCACCATACTTTGTATGCCATCCATATGAGGACAACTTCCGTTATCCTTTTACTACACAAAGAATGTTAATTTGCCGAAGAAGGTTACCCCATTTTGATCGTACGATGTATAGAGTGGGAAGCGTGAGAAACAAGTAAACTAGCGAGGAGGACTAGGAGGTGGGCAGTCACAAACAAAACGAAAAAAGACGCCACATCTTTGTCTCTTTGATCTCATATCTAGTAGATAATTAATAAAAACAAAAAAAATTGCACCTCTTATTTTCCAATTAACTACACGTAGCAGTGATGTAACAAAACAACATTGGATTTTTTTTGGGTGACTTGATCAATCCCATCGACATACAACATTTTTTTTTTTACAAATAATACCAACTTTTATTCCACCAAATGAGAGAAACAAGCAAAAGGCTATTACAATCTTAAAGGAGGTTAGACATTAGATCTAGAATATTAATCCAGTCATCTGGCAGAAAAGATCTGGCTTTTGATCGTGCAACCCAATCAGCTCTGACGTTCAAAGCCCTCAGAATCTCTTTCACCGAAATAGAAGGATTATTCCTAAGGATATTGACCATTGTTCTAATCCATGCCGCACATCTCCAGGGCCATCGAGACTGATTATGGTTCAGGGCCTCCACCAGCATTTGGCAGTTAGTTTGCACTGTACATACCGATCCATATTCTTGTGCTGATTTAATTCCTTCCAATAGAGCCTTTGCTTCCGCTTCAATTGGGGTGGAACAAAGAAGATTATCAGCTCTCCCATCATACACTTGTCCATGGTGGTTAACAACAACAACACCATATGCCGTCGACTGGGAGTCGTTAAAGAACGACCCATCACATTGAATCACTATAGAGTGATTGCTTGGCGAGGGATTCGTAGTAGGGTGGGTTCCCCTGAGCTAAGTGGGACCGTCTGAACCTTGAGGTGGGGGCCTCGGGCAAGCAATCCATTCCGTCAGTTCTCTGTAAGTTTGCAGACACACGTTTGGGGGCCAAGGAACTCTATTCTTGAAAGTGCACTTGTTTCTAGCCTTCCAAATGTTCCAACACATGTAGATAATATGAGTCAAAGAATCATGAGGGATGGTGTCTTTGAGGGAGTAGAACCCATCCAAGAAAGAGGTGCCCTGAGGAGGAATCAGAAGGGAAGGTAAAATGTTGGTCCATGCTTCTCTCGCATGAGGGCAGTCGAAGAGGCAGTGGTTAAGGGACTCGAAAGGGTTATGACACATTTGGAACTCGGGTTAGGAGCACATTTGCGTTGGAAGAGTCTTGCTTTCGTTGCCAAACCATTTCTGGAGCATCTCCAAATAAAAAACTTAAGCTTAGGTGGGCTGTTCAGTCCCCATATCCATTTCCACCTCTCTTCGCTTCCTGTCGGTTGGAAGTTAGTGTTGGCTTTATGAACAGCGTGGTAGGCTGTCTTGCTGAGAAATCTCCCTCTCGAGTGAGGCTCCAAGCCCAAAAATCATCAGATCCCTCCTCCCCCAATTGGGACTTTAAGAATAGCCTCCACTTATTCCCTCGTCACATGACCTTGAAGCAAGTCCGCGTTCCAGCTTCTACTTACTGGGTCTATCCATTCCTTGACCCTCAGGTTCTGCTAGGGGCTGCTTCCGATAACAAAATTCTGCATGCTCGGAATCCAGGGATCTTGACCAATCCATGTATCCTCCCCTGACCCGATCACTCTAATTGCTCCCATGTTGATAACCTTCTTAGCCTCCCAAAGACTTGCCCAGATCCAGGAGGATCTACTTCCTTTTTTCGATTGCAGGAATCCTCCTCTCGGGAAGTACAGACCCTTAAGGAGTCTACACCAAAGGGCATTAGGGGAATTTAGGATTCTCCAAGCTTGTTTCGCCAACAGTGCCATGTTAAAATCTTTGAAGCTCCTAAAACCCAACTCCCCTTCTGACTTTGGAGCGCATAGAATCTCCTTCCTACACCAGTGCATAGTGCTTTTCTGCATTGACCTTGACTAAAAGAAGTTGGTGAGGAGAGAATCCATCTACTTGGTGAGGTTCACTGGAAGGTTAAAGAGGTACATGATGTAGGAAGGAATAGCTTGGATGACTGCTTTGAGCAAAACTTCTTTCCCTCCATGGGAAAGGAGGAGGCTTTTCCAAGCTTCCCTCATCTTCTCCATTCTATGAATCAGGAATTGAAAAGTTTCCTTCTTTGAATTCCCCCATTCCGTCGGCACTCCTAAATACTTGGTGTGACAGTTAGAGGAGGCAAAACCGATGTGAGCAATGATTGCAGCTTTGTCCGCATCGGGGACATTCGCACTGAAGAAAACATATGACTTGTTGATATTTACTTCTTGTCCTGTGATGGCTCCATACTCTCTTATAAGATCAAGGATTTTCTCCGCTTCTTGATGGTCAGCCTTTCCCAAAATCACTGTTTCATCTGCAAACAGACAGTGGGTGAGAATCGGGCATCTCGCGTTCAATCTAATTCCTTTTAACTGGTTCTGGGAAACTGCCTTATCAATCAGAAAGGTGAGTGCATTAGACATTAAAATGAAGAGGAAAGGGGAAAGCGGGTCTCCCTGTCTGATCCCCCTGGACAGTTTGAACTCCTCAGCTGCTTCACCATTGAAGAGGATGGAGAAATTGACCGTCCGGATGCACGAGCTAACCCATCTGCACCATCTTTTATCGAACCCATAGTTTTCCAACAGTGTTTCGAGGCACTCCCAATCCAGCATATCATATGCCTTCTTCATGTCCAACTTGAGCATCATGTCTCTTCTCCAATGTTGTCAGAACCGAACCGGAGTACGATCCATAAACGTGAACGGCTCGGTCTTTAGTGGTCCAGCCGGCATTAGACCGTTTAAAAACCGTTTGAGAACCGGTACCTAATAAACAGTCATCTGTATAAATAGTGGACACTTCTTAATCATGGTAAATCACAAGTAAGCAAAAAAAATTGCTAAATGGAACAGGGAATAAACCATTACTAATCTAGCTTCTAAGTAGTATTAGGAACTACATCATTTTTTATCCCCAATTTCTGAGTGAGTTAGTTGCTGAGCAAGAACACAGAGCTAACTATTCCAACAATCAGTTCACTATATCAACAGCTGAGTATATTCCCCAACTTGGCTTCTTCCTTCTTTTGTCCTCTTCTTCCTCGCCTTTTCAAACGAACCAGCAGGTGGTGAGAGTGCCTTAGATTAGATTACAAATCCAAAAAAGAGGAAGGTGGGAGAAGCCTTGGTAGCGAGGCGGTGCTGCTGGTCGTCTCTTCTCCTTCTTCTTCTTCTAGCGTTTCCATGGTTCAAACATAAACCTCTAGTACATGATATTGACTCTTTAAGCAAAACCCAAATGTTAGCAGAAGAAGAAGAAATCCCACAAAAACCCATTACCCTCTTCTAGAGCTCGTGAAATTAAACTAATGCTCAAGCTCTCCTGATCGCAGGCTTGAGCTGTAACAAACAGGTGAGATTCACTGTGAAAATCCGAATGCCTACCACGAGAGCAAGAAGATGAATCAGGTAGAGGCAGTGGATAGGAAGATGAATCTGGCAGAGGCGCTGGGGAAGCTGATGCGACGGCGACGGCGACGACGCTGGGGAAGATGGCGATGGCGACGGCGCTTCTTGTCTCCAGGCTCTCCACGAAGAAGAAGATGGGGAATGAAATTTGGGAATTAGGGTTCTGCCCGACCCCGACCCACCTTCCCCTTTAATTTTTCGGTCTTTTAGTTTTTTTTTTAATTACACCAACCGGCCGAATGTAAAAAACTGGACGACCGGCTCGAGCGGTTAACCGCTTCGGCCGCCCCAGAGAACCAGTCCGGCTAAATAGCTGATCCGAGCCGGTTTTGAGCCCGGTTGGCGGTTTTGGCGGCTCGGCTCAGTTTTCACAACACTGCTCTTCTCCTTCCCAGCTTGTGGTTTTTGAAGTGGTGGAGGGCCTCATGGACAATAATGATATTGTCTTGGATAAGTCGACCTCCTATAAAAGCTGTCTGAAGCTCCGATATCAGATTCGGTGTCCAGATCTTTAATCGGGTTGCCATAATTTTTTATATAATTTTATATCTAAAATTGCAGCAACTGATTGGTCGAAACTGGCTTATCAATTCTGGGTGGTCCACTTTCGAAATCATGACGACATGTGTATCATTCCATCCATCCGGCATTTCGACAGTCTCAAAAAATTTCTTAACCTCTCTGCATACCGTTTCCCCAATAATATCCCAGAATCTTCGGTAGAACCTACCAGAGAATCCATCTGGACCTGGGGCCTTTTTCACACCCAATGAAAAAACCGCTTTCCTAACTTCCTCACTGGTTACTGGGGCACAAAGAGCACCATTCATCTCAGCTGTGACCTTTGATGGGAAGCCATCCAAAAGGTGGGTAAAGGGGATATGGTCTCTAGCTTCCTCACTGGTTACTGGGGCACAAAGAGCACCATTCATCTCAGCTGTGACCTTTGATGGGAAGCCATCCAAAAGGTGGGTAAAGGGGATATGGTTTCCTAACTTCCTCACTGGTTACTGGGGCACAAAGAGCACCATTCATCTCAGCTGTGACCTTTGATGGGAAGCCATCCAAAAGGTGGGTAAAGGGGATATGGTCAAAAGGTGGGTAAAGGGGATATGGTTTCCTAACTTCCTCACTGGTTACTGGGGCACAAAGAGCACCATTCATCTCAGCTGTGACCTTTGATGGGAAGCCATCCAAAAGGTGGGTAAAGGGGATATGGTCTCTAGCTTAAAAGAGGTCTTTGTGGAAATCCTGGGCCAGACCTTTAAGCCTATTCTCATCCTCAACCCAATCTCCTCTTTCATCCTTGAGTCTAATAATTCTATTCCTATGCTTTCTATGGATCGTGCTAGAATGGAAAAAAGAATTATTCTGATCACCTTTCTGTAGCCACTTCACTCTTGAGAACTGATTCCAGAAAGCCTCCTCCTCCCTCCACTTCTTAGCCAATTCTTCAAATAGGATTTTTTCTTCCTCAACCCTCTCCTGAGTTCTTGGCGGACGTTGGAGAATGTCAAGACGATCTAGTATTTCCTTCTCCCTTTGTAAACTGTTCCTATGAAAGTCTTTATTCCATTCTTTAAGGTCTTGTTCGCACTTGGCCAACTGATTAGACGATTGCCCTCCCGGGTCCCAAGCTCGAACCACAATCTCTTTGCATTCCTCCTTTTCCAACCATATTTCATCCACTCTGAAGGGTGTTTTCCTCCTCTTATTACCTCTGTAACTGAGTTCCAGCCTAATTGGGCAATGGTCCGATTCAACCATCTTCTCATGGAAAACAGTTGCATCTCCGAACAAGACCTTCCAAGAAGTCGAGCACAACACTCGATCTAATCTAACTCTTGTTGTGTTTTCGCTAATGCGCTTATTGGTCCACGTGAAGGGTTCTCCTTTAAACCCTAGATCAATAAGAGCATTGTTGAAAATGAACCTTTTAAAAGGTTCAACATTCTCATACCTAAGAGGACATCTACCCTCCTTTTCACTTTCATAAATAGCGGCATTGAAGTCTCCTACAATAACCCAGTTATCCTCCCTACTACTCCGCAGAGAGCTCAGGTGCTCCCAAAATTCTCTTTTACCAACAGTGGTAGAGGGTGCATGAACAAAAGTACAAAAGAAATTCCTACCCATGTCAATACTACAATCCATATAGGAGCTATCACTACTTAAAACATTAATGCTAATACCCGCTTTCCACCAAAGCACAAAACCCCTAGAAGAGTTGACCGATTCCACATACTCTTTATTGGGGAAAACTTTGAGACTTCTCCTTTGCTCCTCCATGAATGTCTCATTTTTGCTCGTTTCCATGAGGAAAACAATCGAAGGGCCTAAACGTCTACAAAGACGTTTCGCGTAACTTCTTGTAAGGGTTGGGCCAAAACCCCTACAATTCCAACTTACGATGATCATTTTTGGAGAGGTGGCTTCTCGCGAACCACCGCTGCCTTATTCTTCATTCCTCGACCCTCCTGTTCAATTTCAGGATGTTTCCCCTTAGAGGTGCTGGGGTGCAGATACTTACCCTTCAAATTCCTTTTCCTGGTGCCCTCCCCAAGCCCACCCATTTCAAACCCACCTACTGGCCCTAAGTGAAGGGCCTCATCTTCACTAAACTCGGCCCTGGGCCTTTCACCACCAACCAGGCCCATTCCTTTCCTTTTCTTTTGTTTTCGGCCTGCCACTTCTTCACTCCCATCTTGTAGGTGCCGGTACTCAGCAACCTCATTTAGGGCTGCATGGAATTGGCTTTGGGCTGGGAAGCTTTGATGGGTAGGCCCAAGAGACAAATCTGTCTCCACCTCCACTGTTGGCCGCCCCAAATCGAAGACAATCCTTTCTTCCTCCAATCTCTTCCCCATCTCCATAGTCACCGCCGCCCTGTCCAGTTCCACGTTCAGATTTGTAGATCCCATCTCCTCTTGATACCTTCCTCTCCATCTCCCCTGCGACACTTGCTCCTCCTCTCCCTTAATTTCTTGCTCCACCCTTCTTACCGTAAATCCTAGAGGGATTTGTAAGTTCCCTTCATAACTCCTTCCCACCGGAATCGACAGCGTTCTTCCTTCTTCCGCCCTCAATCGACTTTGGGTTCCTGATCGCGCCGTCTCTCTTCCCGTCGAAGATCTTTGTGAGCCTTCCCCCTCCCTGCTGTTCCTGTAGTTGGCCGCCTGGTGCATGTGAGGTGAGTCGATTCCCGCCTTGAGCGATGAGTTGTAGATCTCTGAAAGGTGTGCGACTCTGTTCCTCTTCCTCTCCTCGTTCATTCTCCAGCAAGTCGGCCAGTTGTGGCCTATTCTCCCACAGAAGTAGCACAATTCCACCAGCCTCTCGTACTTGAAGTCAATCACGTCGCAGTGATCAACTCCGGTGGATTCGTCTATGAACGGAAAGTCGAAGCCGATCGGGACTGGGTCTTTGAGGTCGACCTCTACCAGAATCCTCAGGAACTTTCTGTATCCCGAGAATTCCAAGCTTGCTCTATCCAGGTCGAGGAGCCCCGGGAAGTAATGAGTTCCAATCGCCACCATATTCTGTTCGCTCCTCTGGTTTTGGTGCATCCTGTGAATTTGCACCCACATGGCCACCTTCTCTATGGGAACTTCTTCAGGCTTCCCCCTTCCGTTGTATTTCTCCACAGCAGTTAGCGTATTTGACAAACTCCACTGTCTGTCCCTCCATATCATTTCCCTGATTTCTTCATTGCTGAAAGTGAATATGAAGAGGTTCTGTGTTTCCGTAGGTTGGACGTTAACCTCTCCATATCCCCCCCACGCATAGCATGCTGCACCTGCCGCCTTAGCCAAGGCTACCCTGTTCTCGCTCAGCATCTTCCCCCACATCATTGATATGCCTCTGCCTCCCGTGGATGTGAGTATTGGGTGATCGCCTCTGTTTCTTGAGGATGACGAGGTGAGTCTGATCTCTTCTATAGCTCTACTTGGTGCTCTGCTATTGTTGATCTCCATGTTGATTGAGTGAGTTTTTCCTTGGCTTTTTATGTTTTTGTTGTTTGCAGGGGATAACAGAGGGATTTTTGAGAGATAGAGTATTTTGGGTTTGGGAGCTCTCTTGGAAGTTGGTACCCTTCTCCTTTCCTTCTCGCCCTCTTTAAAGCCATTTCCAGGAAGACTGTCTTTAATTTCATCTAGCTGTAGGAGGTTCTGTTTCTTGTCAAAGCATTCAATATTCCCCTTCTGATTGATACTTACCTTTCTCTGTTTTCCTATCCCTGTCTTAGCTGCACTGGGCTCAAGGCTTTCGTCTCTCACTCTATTGATGGTGTCTGCTTCTGGGTGACCTCCTATGGCTCCTCTACCCCCTCATACATCTCTTCTCTTCTTCTTTATTCTCTGACATCGAAGGGCAGATATCCTCCAGTCTGGTGGTTTCCAAATCCCTCTTTTATTTATTTCGTTTGCAGATCCTCCCCTGCCTTGTCCACTCTCTATAAGATTTTCCCCTGTTGGTGATGTGCTGTGGCATCTTCCCCTGTCGAGCAAATCTTTGTGATCTTCTCTTGGTGGTTGAGAAGAGTTTATGGTGCTCTCAGATTGAGCTGGATCAGTCCCAATGAAGGGGACGGAAAAAGAACCGTTGGGTTCAAAGGAACGTTCCGTTAGAGAGAGAGAGAGAGAGAGAGAGAGAGAGAGAGAGAGAGAGAGAGAGAGAGAGAGAGGAGAGAGACATGTTTTGCTCCTCTCGTAAAAGAAAGCAAATCGGCTTCCATCGACATACAACATGACGACGAAGAAAAGAGTGGTTCACCACTGGTTTCTCGGATGGTGAATTACAAGGAGACAAACACGATGAGAAGTTTCATCTCGAGGACATTATTCTCTTCCATCAACGACTCAATTCGAGTGCACAAATGTTTGATGATGTCTCTCTTTTCCTCCATATCAGGTAGTTGCTTTTGATGCGTAATCTTTTGACCTAAGGTTTTCTCATTGATTTCTTAGTTTATTTGTGTAACTAGTATGCTTGCGAGATGTTGAATTATGGATATTAATTACTAACACATTCATTTTCACCCTCGCGGTTGCCATGTCAAGTTCTATGAGGGCGGTTGCCATGTCAAGTTCTATGAGGATCAGTGGCTGAGGGAGAGGGTCATGCATTGTTTGATACATATAGAATAATATTCTTGATAGTTTTGACACATTTAATTTACCAAGTTTTAATAAATAAAAAATTATATCATGAATTATTTAAAAAACTAACAAAACACTTTTATGGTGTCTTTTTTTTCTAAATGGACTCATTCTCGACAAAATTTTAGCTATTCCACTGGTCAGATGCAGATGTTCACCCACATTTGAGGTCGATCCCTCCTTCAACATTCAGTTTAGTTGTTGCTTTCCTTACAATTTTATCAAACCATACCCCATAGAAACGCATTCATGCAGTCCACGAACCATGGTCCATGAAACCGTACCGGAGACCGTACCGGGAAATTCAGCGATAGGGTATTTTATGGTAAAACCGTGGTTAACCGTAGTTCAACTGTTGTACCGTTAAATACCGCCTACCGGTTAGCCTCCAATACTGGTATTTCGTGGTTGAACCGCCGGTACGGTACGGTTTCATGGACCATGCCATGAACTAGTAGGAGAAACCCAATTGGACCAATCCCTGCATTTTTGTTGCAGGGTCTCGCCACAAATTGGTATTTGGGCTCAATATTGGGACTGCTCCACTGGACCAATCCAATGTGGGTCCACCAGAAGTGACTGAAATGATAAACATTGAGTCCATCCCGGTTCACAGCCCATATACAATATAGAAGTAGGCAATCCCATTCTATTTTGGGCAATCAATCCATTTTCCCACACCCCATGCCCACGGGTTGCGTTTGGGCTATCTATAGCCCAAATGTTTTCTGACGACAAATTGGCCCTAAGATTGTCAAAAGAACAGCAGTACTTCTTCTCTTTTCCCAGCTTTTGTTTTGCTTTCGACAACAGATGGGGTTTCATGATTTGCGGCGTAGGTCTCCTGCCTGCCATTGCCGTTTGGTTTTTGCCTAAAAGTTGTTTAAACAAACAACACTAATGAAGTGAGCGTCAGTGCGCCACCACTAACATAAGCTAATTAATCAATTGATGACTTTGAGCTCCCTGTAGTTGGAATAAAGCAAATAAAAAAGTTTCGGTAGAGGAGATCATTTGAAGGAAAAGAGGGTTTCATTGGTATCTATCTTTGTACAATTTTGACTCGACAAAAAAAGGAATAGAGAATGGTGGTGGGAAGGGGGGGCAAATGAAAGAGGAAGCTGTCAGGATGGTCTCCATTTTTACTTTTCGTCAAAATTTGTGGATTAAGAGCTAACTAACTACTAAGCTCGGTTCGCCACAAACCTTATTCCACATTGATCCACTCAAAAGGGATACTTCCTAGTTCCAAGAAAGTGAATGTGGATATATTTATATAGGTTAATAAAAAAAAAAATAGTCAAATCTTCAAAGTTGTGGATAGTGATAATCAAAACGAAATACCATAAGATATTTAAGGGGTTGTTTGAATGGATCAATTGCAAAACGAGACAATTTAAACCAATTGTCTCGTTTTACAAAATGAGTCATTTAAAACGATTCAATTCGAATTACCTGTTCCCAGCACAGACAATTGTAATTGCCTCAAAACGAGTCAATTCAGAATTCCAGGGCAAATTGTTCCCTTCAAATTTTCTTTTGCCAAATGAGTCAATCTAACCTAATTGTCTCAAAACGAGACAATTGTGTCAGATTTGATCCATTATAATTCCTCATCCAAACGACCCCTAAATCTTTTAATATGTTGGACATATATAACCGTTCGTTAATTTTACATTAATAGTGTTGATGTGGCTAACAAAAATGGTGATGTGACATAATTACGTGACGTGGCATGAAGATAGTATGTTTACCTTAACACATGAACGATTATTTACGTCATATTAATATATTTCATCCAAAATTAATTTTACAGAGAAGAAAACCCGCCTATTATCTCGACAACATGAAGCGGCCCAACATCTTCCACCCAAGTCCGCCTTCGTTTTATTTAGCCATCACCTCAATAAGCCATCGTCGTGTCTTCTTCAAAATGCAACTCTTTTCCAACAGTCGTCGCTTCTGCGAGCGAGCATCGACAATACACCAATATTCACTTAAATCACTAACCGAGATCATCAAATCAACATCTAAATTTTAAATTCAAGAGCTTACGTAGCCAGCTCTTCTCAAGGACCGCTTCATGTTGTCGAAATAAATGGTTGGAATTCCCCCCCCCCCCCCCCTGATATAATTAATTTGAGTGATTTTTGAATACGAGGTACCTAATTGTCAATTCAAGGAAAAAAAATATTATCATCATGTTACGTCGCATAATCACATCCTCATCACAATTTTCGTTAGCCATATCAACATATTTCACGGTGAAAATAACATATGTTTGTATGTGTCCACCACAATCAAAATTTTGGCTATTTTACGGTATTTCAAACATATTTGACTATTTCCATCCACTAAATCATCAATCTTACAATGACAGGAAGGAGATTTTCTCAGCAGTGAGAGTAAGGGACGACGACATGAGGGAGGCTTTCCCGACGGTGAGAGTAAGGGACATTGGCAGCCGATTGTTGTTGAAAACTCACATTGAAATCCGTGCAAGGGCAATAAGGGGAAATCCGAAAAACCCAACAATTGAAACCAATCATGCAAATTTACATTTTCACCGAATCCCACCAATGATAACCTTCTCCATCGCTGAATCTAGCTGTCACCAATTGCTCTGTCTTCTCAATATTGTGGTGGTTAGAGGGAAGGAAAGGTTTTCAATCAATAAAGATATTTCTACGAATTGGTCATATAACTCATCTCTTTGTTAAAGATACTTTTCATTTTTATCTCTTTTCTCTGTTTGACGAGAGAAAGAAACAGAAAGAGTGTTCAAGGAAGAGGGACTTAAAGAGTTAAGAGCCGACAATTTTTGGTCGGACTTGAGGTCAATACAACGACAACTACAATCCACCATCAACAATGCACAAATAGATCACCAAAACCACCAATCGAGATCATCACATCAACATCTTAATTTTAAATTCAAGAGCTTATGTAGGCAACTCTTCCCAAGGGCCGCTTCATGTTGTCGAAATAAGCTATTTGATTTTTTTTTCCTTTTTTATATAATTAATTTGAGTGAATTTTTGAATATGTGGTACCTAATTGTTGATTTAATGAAAAAAATATTATCACCATGTTACGTCACATAGTTACATCCTCCTCACAGTTTTTGTTAACCACGTTGGCATATTTCCCGCTGAAAGTAACAAATGGTTGTATCAACCCACCAAATTGAAAGTTTTGGATATTTTATGATATTTCGAAAAGGTTTGACTAAATTGTCCACCAAATCGTCAATCTTACAAAGATATGAGAGAGATTTTCTCAGCAGTGAGAGTAAGGGACGACGACATAAGGGAGGCTTTCCCGACGGTGAGAGTAAGGGACATTGGCAGCCGATTGTTGTTGAAAACTCACATTGAAATTCGTGCAAGGGCAATAGAGAAAAAAATCTGAGAACCCACCAATTGAAACCAATCATGTAGATTTACATTTTCATCAAATTCCACCAATGAAAACCTTCTCCATTGCTGAATCTAGTTGTCACCGATTGCTCCGTCTTCTCAATATTGTGGGGGATGGAATGAAAGGTTTTCAATCAACAAAGAGATTTCTAGAACTAATCTCTTTGTTAAGGATAGTTTCATTTTATCTCCTTTCTCAGTTTGACGAGAGAAATGAGCAGAAAGAGGGACTTAGAGCTGGTAAATTTTGGTCAGACATGAGGTTAATACAACGACAACAACAATCCACCATTGACGAGAAAGGAGAGCATAAGAGAAGGAATAGAGCTAAGAGGGGAAATCAATTAGGTTGCACGGAAGGTGATGAAGAAGAAGAAAATTATTAAAATCATAGTT